TCACGACAACACTTGTGACGGGTTCTTCACCTTCTTTCTCGATCGTTGATATTTCTGTTACCTCTTTCTTCAATCCTGTGCGCTTTTTGATCACTCGCTTGATGGTTTTGATCTTCTGCTTTTCACCACTTTCCGTCTTCACTTGTTCAATTTTTACTTCTTCGGGTTCTTCTTCGATCAATTCAGTTGCTTTTGATTTAATCTGCGTGTTCATTTGTTTTAAATCATCTTCAGATATTATTTTTGTGTGCCTTATTTTTTTGTTATTCTTATGTTTTATCTGATATGTATTTTTGGTTTCTTTTTTAATTGAGTTGTCTGAGTCACTTTCAACTTGAATCTCTTCAATTTGTACTTGAGACCTTAACTTTGGAATTTGGAAGTATTCTTCAGGCATTTCAATTGTACTTTTATCAGTATCTGTTACTAATGATTCATCTCCTTCATACTCTTCGATTTTTACGCTATGATTGACTTCCTGTTTTGATTCTTGCCTTTCGTCGTCATCTAGTCTTTCTTCTATTACAATATTTGCTTCATCAACTTTTCCGCCTTCAGTTTTTCGCTTCCGTAATATGGTTCTTTTTGTTTTTATTTGTCTTGGTTCTCCATTATCAGGTGCCTGAATGAATTTAGTTACTATCTCTTCCCTTTCTTCTATGTCTGAAGATCTTGGTGAATCTTTGTTAACAAAGGATATTTCTGAAAAAGCATAGTGTGTCTTAATGTTTATACATTTTAGATCTGTAACATGAACTCAAAATAAGTGTGTATCCGTTGAAAATATGTAATCTAATCGTAAAATGTTTTTTTTTGATAATCGACAGTCAAAACAATCGAAAAATCACTCAGTTTCTATACAACTGAATAATTGACAATAATTGTTCAAAGGATAACGGTGTGTGGTTAACTATAATAATGCTTATGAGTCAAGAAAAAATTAGAGTCACAGTTTCGATAAGTAGCTATTTATATATGAACTAGTTACAAAGTAAATCCGTCTTTAATAGTAAACAAGTTTTAATAATGATTAGCCGCACAGAGTTTGTACAGTTAAGATAAGTACTTAAATGCGTAGTTTTGAGAAAAAGAATAAATGGTATTGAGTTGTGTTGCTAGAAGCCCTAATTCCATTATTATATATATGCAAGGCAATTATGCCTCCTGTATGCGGTAATCTAGAAACGCATTTTCACATTAGTCAACTTCAATCTTGTTTAAAATGATAAATATAATTATCAATAGTTAATTTAATAAATAATAATCTATAAATACCAACAATAGACAAAATAGCATTGTGGGATGCCTGTGCAACACCAACTTCCGCGCGACACTCACTCAACGACCGACATCAAAGAAAGAAGCAAAAATTGCGGATGGCCGTCCGCCGTTAATCAAAAGCGTATTTGTACGTATTCGTCCCCTTCTACTATTTAATCCAAAATAACATGAATCAAAAACAAATCTTCTGTATAATACGGTTATTATCCAAAATAACACGGGGCTTTCCTTAGTTATCTTTCTGTTTACAGAAGTCTAACAAAGATAAAGAAATACATGAGCTCGACATAGGGAACAACATTTTTCACCGGTAACTTCTTTGAAAGGTTCTATGTTAGTTGTTAAATTCAGTACACCACCCCATGTCCTTGTATTGACTTGTTATGAAATATTTAAAAAAAATATAATACGCGCCATCGTTTGTTATAAAATAAACTAAACAGTGTCACAAAATAAAACATAAACATATAGATATAATTTAGTGACACTTATCGGCAATTAATTTCAATGCAATTAATTATATTGATCTATCTATATATAGCGTTAGTGAGGATCATGTGAAGAATAATTCAAATGAAGTATCAACCATGCTTCCTCTGTATATTTGTTAAAACAATTTGATGTCCAATTATACGAAAATTTGTAACAATATAACAAGAAAAAGTTGCAGAAGTTTCAAAGCAGCGAACTATCAAACTAATTGCTGTTGCAAAACTTCACATTTCCATATATCCGGTACACATAACAAAATACCTATATAATGGGGTTTTAATGTCCCATCGATGAATTCGAAAATGACACTTTATTTTTCCCGCAAACGTCTTTATGAGCTACTTAGTAAATACGACAATCTAAATTCCCATAAAATTTTGGATTTTTAAGCTATTTAAAAAAACATTATTAAAATACGGCGAATTTTAATTCTATCAAGAACATTTTAAAATAATGTTTTTGACAAAAAAACATTGCTTACCCTCTAAAAACACATCTTGTTGTGTAATCATTATGTTATGGTGATCGTCGTCAATAGTAGTGAAATTTGTTTTGAGTGCTTGTGGGTATTCTCCATTGTAAGGACTTGTTTCTTCAGGCCTACTTTTATCTAACACTTCAATTTCATTGTAAAAGTTGTATGTTTCTTTCACTTTTTGTTTATCAGGAGTTTTAACAGTAAACGGTGTTTCACCTTGGATGCTTGTATTATCACTTACTAATAAGGGTAAGATATTTGTAGTTTTAACATTAGTGATTTTTGGCTGTACCTGTGGTGTGACTAATTCATCAACCTGCAATTCGAAAATATTTTCATTGCATTGTATATGCGTCAATGGCATTACATTCTTTTCAGCTGTTACAGATTTAGTCACGTCGGAAATCAATTTTTCGTGTGCATCAGCTTCTACAACTTCGTATATATTGATTCCTTCGTTTTGATTTAGTGAGCATGTAGCAGTTTGAGCTTTCATTGAAAGGTCTAACTTATCATTTTTTACACTTTCATAAACTAAAACATCCGTTTGACTTATTGGTTCTAAATCAATTACATCTGCATATATATTATTTTTTCCTGTAATACCAGTGCTGGGCATTAAAGTATTTTCAACTTCTCCTAAAATTATCTCTGTTAATTCCACCGGCTTTAATTCAGAAATTTTTTCTTCTGGCTGTTTTGTTACTATGTCGTACTGGGTGTTAATATTTTGAAGTTGTTCGTGTGTCGTGTTTTCTGAAACCTGATAACTTTTGTAAGATTCTACATCAATTGTAGCGTTATCGCATGTTGTAACAGTTAAATCACGTATCGCCTCGACACTGTCTAAAATATTGTGGTCACATTTAGAAACTTCATGCGAAACAATTCGTTTCTCTTCCGCTATTTGCTTTTGCTCTTTTTGTAATTTACCTAATTGAGCAACATTTTCACTTGACGTTATTTCAATTCCCTGAATTGATGTCATTTCCAGAAGTTGTTGTTCTGCAGTTTTAGGTTCAGAACCTTGGATAATAATATTATCGGAGGCTTCCACCGTTGTACTTTCTAATGTAATGTAACTTTTATTAAGCTCATATTCAATTTCTACTTTCTTTTCATCCTGAACTTGTTCACACAGATTTTCCACATTTTCGATGGACTGTGGGGAAATATGAACTACTTCTTGTAATGGAGCTAATATAGAAGACGCATGTTCACTTGTAGGACCACTTGTAAGTAATGAAGTAGGAGTTTCTTCTGTAACTAGTTCAAGCAATTGTATATGTTGCATTTCCTTATAACTTGACTTGGGCGTTACCTCTTCTGGCTTGTTGTAAATATCAATTTTGTCGACATTGTCCAATACTTGCGTAAGCTCACTGTTTAGGCTTTCAGACATAAGTTGCAGTTTTTGTGCATTTTCGTATCGCTTTTTAGGTTGTTCAGTAATTGCTAATTCACTTTCTAATGTTGTGGTTTCCCCTGTAATTACATGGTCCATAGCCGAAATATTCACCCTTTGTTGATCGCAAATCTTATTGCTTTCGAATTCGAGATTTCCTTCTTTTTCCCTCGTATCAACATCCATTATCGTAATATGGTGTTGGGAATCCAAATCTATGGTAACTTTCTCTTTTTTTAGCATTTTATTGTTAGTTAAATTCTCTTCAGATTCCTTTGGTATTACTTCTTCTATTAAAACAGACGAATGTGTTTCAAACATTTCCTTGAATTCTTTAGGCTGATCAATGTAAGTGTGGTCGTTTGCATATTCTTTCTCATTAGTATCTATTTCTGTCACTGTTACGTATTTGTTACTTTGTTCAATATTACAAGAAGCGTTAGTAAATGTTTCTTTAACTCTGTTGTTAAATTTCGTTCCCTTTTCTAGTGCCAATACCTCTACTACATTAACAGAATCGCTTAATTCTAGATTCACCGAAGGCTTTTCTTTTGTTTTTACATTGGTATTAAATTCTTGTTCAGTTTCTTCAGCTTTGATTTCGTCAACGATGAGCGGTTTCAAAGACTCAAAGTTTATTTCGCCCCTTTCTTTTTTATTGATATCCTTAGATTCTAAAACATTCTCTGATTCAGATGAAAACGAGATTTCAACATTGAGATGTTTGTTAGTTTCTAATTCGGCTTTATCTGTCAATAATGGTTTAGGAGTTCCCTCCACTTTCAAGTTTTGTTCTGATTCCACTGGAACAAAATCTGTAACATTTATGTAATCATTTTGGGTAAGAACTATCTGCGCTTGTTTTGTATTATGATCTTTGAATGGCAGTAGTTCTTCTTTTTCACTAACTACCGTTTCACTAATGTTTACACATGGCTGGACTGAAACGTTATTTGTAGGTTGGATACTTTTTGAATCAATAGATGTTATTATAGACAAAGGTAACATGTTTTCTGAAGCGATTACTTCAGTGACATTTATTGAAATTTTGCCCTCCACGGAACTTTTACTTTTGATTAAGTTAGTTACTTCCTCTTGTCTCTGTTCTTCCTTTTCTACCAAAATTTGTTCTGTTTTTTGGGTAACTTCATGACTTTCATATGATGGGTAAGCGTTTTCGAATTTCATTTTTTGCACTTCCAAATCTGAACTTTCTTGATTCGTTAGTACTTCAGAACTTTCTAGATGTTTCTCTTTCTTTATCGAATAGTCAGCAGTACTAGTATGCGTTTTAAAATCGTTTCTAAATTCCTTTTCTTTTTCTACAGTTTGTATTTCTGAAATTTCTTTTGCCTGAGATTCTACTAGCATTTCGGTTGCGTGTAGTTTTACATCTCTTTCCTTGTGTAATAATTCTCCTTCTTTATCGTTGCAAATAACTTGGACGCTTTCTACTTGCTGTAGGTCGCCATCAATTGTTAACATAGCTTTCTTTAAATCTGGCTTTGTGTCTTTTAAGCAATCAACATTTCCAGAAGTCAAAATTTCCGTGTAGATAGCTCCTTGTAAAGGAGTTACAAAATTAACTGAGTAAGGTTTTGTTTCTAAAGTAGAAATATCTAATTCTTTTTCTTTGTCACTTGTTTCAATTATACTCGTTTCGATAGCTTGTGATTGTGTAAAGTCAAGTGTAGCGTTTGATTGTAAGGTCTCTTTTCCTTTAAATGAAATTTCTTTTTCTGCAGATATGACATCTGTTTGTTTTAACACATTTAACGGCACTGCTACAACATTGGGAGCTTCAGCGCTACGCTTTGGTTCTATCAGCGCATCTGTTCCATGACTAACAACAGTTTCTTCTACATTTGCAGCTTTTCCATAAACTTCTACATTAGGTAAAGCTTTTTTGTACGTAATTTCAAAATCATCTGTTTTCTTTAGATTATCTGAGTGTGATAACGTTTCAGTTGTTTGAATACCGTGTGTTTCTAGTATAGAAACATTTGCACTTTGTTTATCAGGTGTAATAGTCTTCGTTAAATTATTTTCAGTGTCAACCAATACATTTATATCGCATTCCGGAACTGAAAGTGCTGTCATGGAAACAGTAGGCTGCTTTGCTGAAACATGTTCTTTTTCTAATACTCCTTCAAGACTATGGACAAATGTCTCATGTTGCGTAGCAGTTTGAATCGGAACTGTCTCTCCTTTAGCTTTAGCTAAAACCTGATCTATTTGATTTTCTAGATCAGTAGTTTTTGTTTCGGGACTTAATTCTTCTATTACTAAAGCATCGCTTGTATCGAAATTAAGAGAAGCTTCATAAGATTTCGGTTTTGATGTCATTAAAGCCCCCTCCATTTCATTGCAATCAGTTGTACTCACAATAACTTCCTTAAAATTCACATTGCTGATAGTAGCATGTTTAGGCTTATCGCCTTTAGGCGCTTGCTTGGTAAACTCAACCGTATTTTCAGAAATAAGTTCTGATGATACGGCAACGGGCAGACTTGAAATACTAGGAGCTGCAGTAAAGCTTTCTCTTACCTCACTCTCTTGATAAATTCCTTCTTTTTCATGTTGTAATGTTTCAGATATAGTTAAAGAATGTTGTGGAGCTATTACTCCTTCGTCAGGGAATTTATGTTCAGGCATATAATTTTCTACAAAAGGTTCTTGTGTTTCTAAAACGTTATTTTCGGAAACTTGTAGCTGTATAAAAGAATTCTGTGTGATTTGTGCCTCTTTATAGTTAAATTTCTCGTCGGGTAGTTTATTTAACGCATCTTTTGTATTAACTTCTGAAATCAAAGCAACTTTGTGGATAAAGTCAATATCAATTTCAGCTACTTCAGTCCTTGTTGGAACTTTTGGTTCAAAATATTCCTCCCTCTGAGAAGAATGTGTTTCAATTACATTTAAACCTTCTTTACTTGTAAAGTTCAAGTTTGCAGTCTTCTGGCATAATTCCTTTTCTTTCAATAATTGCACTTGTTCTTGTGCAATCGTTTGGAACGTTGTGATTTCTTTAAGTAAACTATGTTGTCCTGAAATTTCTTCTACAACATTTTTTTCGCTCGTAATTATACCAATCTGATCAGCAGTAGTAACTTCTTCGGAAATGGGCGTTTGTAATGGATACGAAGTTGAGGTTTTAGCATAATTAGTGCTCGGGATAGCATTTGTATCTAAACTGCTTTCCTTTTCAACAGCAGAGGTTTCGGTAACTGAAAGGGGCAAGTTAGGAATGACTGCAGTACTTAGTTCTCTAGGCTTTTCCATTCTGCAATCTTCAGGGGTCTCATGTTCATGTACTAAAGGCATGGATACCTCTTTAGCATTTTGTGTCAATATTGTTTCTACTGCAGATTTATCGCCTATCTCCTCCGGTAAAAATTCTCTGACAGTTAAATTGTCTAATGTTTCTGATGTTATTATTGGCTCTATTGTTTTTACTCCAATTTTTGCTACAGCCGTCGGTTTGTCTAGTTTAGTTGAAAACTCTTTCTCTTTTTCACTTACATAAATTTCCTCAACAATTTTGTTATCTAAAGCAGATATTGAAACATTTGCTGTTGTTTGCGACGTTAATGATTTAGTTGTCTCTAAACAAAGTTCTGAATCAATAATATTTGTTTCGAAGTTAAACTTATGTTGATGTTCATTAAATCCAACAATTGCGTTTTTAATCGGTATTGATTCAGCTGAAAATGTAGATTCTTTAACATGAGGAGTAACTTGATAATTTTCTAAGCTAGTTTGTAATTCCAAATCTTTATCTACAATTGCCATTGTTGGTTTTTGAGGAACTATTAATTCTTCCTCTTTTTCGTGTAATTCATTAATAGATACGACAACACTGTCTTTTACCATTACATCTAAATTAGCCTCCTGAGTTGGAGGTAACTTTAATGCGTTTAGTAGTCCTTCTTTCTCTTGCACGTCGTGAAATTCTGTAAATATTTGATTCGAAACAAGAATATCTTTTCGTGCAGTTTCAGTCGGAACAATCAGCTCAGGATAATATTTTCCTGATTTATCTTCAATAAAAACTTCTCCGACTTCAATTGACTCCAGTAAGTTGAAATCAATCTTGCCATGTATTGGTTTTTCTAAGTTTTGATTTTCTAGCTTTTGTTCTGCACTCTCTTCCTTAACTTCCGTTACACTAACTTCACTTAAGGGGGTAATTCCTATTGAAGCATACGTTTTTGTAAGTGGCAGACTTTTTATTGTACCTTCTTTTACTGAACTGACGTCCTGCGAAATGTTAAGAGCATCTTGTAGAAGCAATGTTGGTTTTGCATTTTCCTTGTGATCAATAATTTTTTCTATTTCATTTGTCGAAGATACTTCCTCAATAACCTCAGTTGTGATGTATCCTTCCTCTGTAACTAGTCCTTCACTAGCTTTTGTTTCACGTTTTTGTTTACTTATCAAACAATCTGCCACCGAATTCCCCACTTCTATCTCAGTTACCTGCAGGGAATCTGCTTCGGTAAACTGAGTTTCGGCTAAACTCTTCTGCGTAGTCCTAGTCTCGAAATTTTCTTCTTTTTCTTCAACTTGCTCACTGTTGCTAATGAGAGGATAATTTGTATCTAACTTAATCCTGGCTATGAAGTTATCTTGTTTGCTAGTGGTAATATGAGCAGCTTCGCTAGCGGGTATGATTTCGATTTTGTGTTCAGATATTTCAGTTGGAACAGTTGAAATTAAAGGTATTTTGTCTACTTCAAAAATGTCCGACTCTTCAACGTCACAGTGGTCAATTTTTTCTGTTGGATGCATTTTCTGAAGTTCTTTCCTTACTTCTTTAATATCTTCTTCGTGAGTAAGACTACTTGTCTGTATGTGTTTTTTGCGTTTGCCATGTTCTTTTTCTTTGACATCTGTGAAATTTGAGTATTGTAAGTTAAGTTTGACTAATATTCATTTGAATAGTATAAAATACTGTTGCCACTTAATTAAAATAAATAATAAGACTTTTTTTTGTAAGCTATTTAAGCTCTTTATTAATAATGATTTATTAACATAATAAATGGTAAATGTTAGTTGTACTTACTCGAAACGAAATATTTTTAATTACATTTCCAAAGGAAGTGCAAGCGCTCGTAGTTAATTGATGTGAAGGCTGGATAAGGATAGAAGCACAATTCAAATAAGCACTGGTTTTTAAGCATATCTATCTACGTAATTTTAAGATTATTTTTTGTCGAAGAACATCGTTGTTATATTTTTATAGCAGTTTTTATAAATACGCGTAATTCTATAAAAAATTAAAGCGTCGCTTGTATATATCATTTGGCACATTAAAGCGCTTTTTGCGGGAGTTTTGAAAGCATTACTATAGTTTAAAAATATGACTTAAAGTTTGTATTTGTATTCTTACCTTTGGTAATATCTTTCCTAATAATAGTTTTATCTGCAAAAAATAGTAATTATATTAAACTAAGATACAAACATTTGTGGAAACATTATTAAATTACTAAATTTTTACCTTGTTTAATACTTATGGTTTTCGTCTCTGCAACATTTTTAACATTTGCCTCCTCCACAGCCTACAACAAATTATAATAAGGCATTTTGTTTATTTTTTATGGAAATATTTTTATAAGGCTCAGATAGAAAACTAATATTCTAAACGTTGATGTGATCTTTGGAATGTCCCTGGTCATAAAGTTAAGTTGTTAACAATATAAACTATGGTACCTCATGTGCTTCCTTTTGTTCCCAGGAACGCGGCTGGAAATCTTCGGGATAAAAGTGAGCAATAACCTCTTCAACTGAGGTATGCTTCATTTCAACCATTTTTAAGAATGCTCTAAATCCAACTTTTGCAGCAATTGCATGTTCATCTTGAGTAGTCTCTTCAGTAAGCACTTCAGTAATTAGCGCGCTATGGCCTTGACGCTCAACCAGCTTAACCAAAGCTGATTGCGACTGAGGGACTCGCAAAGCAGGGAAGAATTGAGAATCATATAAACTTTCAATCTCTTCAATTGTTAATCCACTTCTTAGCATGTATCCTATTTTAGCCAATTCTCTCAAAGGAGATTCTCCGGGTCCAAATTCTTTAGCATTTATCACCTCGAGCAACTCATTGATTTCCGCAACCATGCGAGAATTTTCTTCTAACTTTGTTACCCCATAATGCTTGTTAAATTCAGTGCTTTCTAAGGGTCGAACCGTTTCAACCTCTTCTTGTTGTGTTTGTATCAAATAGTCCTTGTGTAATTCATCATGTTTTTGAAATTCTTCTTTAACAACTTCTTGCATGTCGGACTTTCTAATATCAGTCTTCTCAAATTTACTTTTTTTCGTAACTTTAGATTTTTGCACTTTGCCCATTGCAGTTTTTTCTGTTTCTTCAATTTGTTCCACTCGTTCTTTAGATTCTTCGGTAGTCGACTTGTCCGAATGAATTTCGTCTATTTTCAAAATTTGTCGCTGAGTATCTGTGAACGAATACCATTTTATTACAAAAAGAAGTAAAAAAATTAAAACTGGCAATAGAACTTAATTTACAATATAAGAATAAGAGAAAAATGCAATTACAAAATAGGCCATATATAATAGAAAAGGATATTTATATTACCCTTTACAGAAGATTTCAATTCTTCTTTATGTTTTACCCATTCAGGTTTTCTGTAGTCTTTTGTATCAATAATATCTGAAATCAGGAGTACATGTTACTTACTTTTTTATTTATTACAAGCAAAAAGTTTACAGGGTGCAAATTAGCAGGCTATGGAGGACTTTAATATGTATTGTTTTTAAGAAATTTACATTCAGACATTCGAAATGAATGACTTATTTTATTCCGTATGTCATGATGTTTAAAATGCACCTATTCTTTCTTTTTCTCCCTCCAAAACACAACACTGAATTCAATAAATGTTCAATTTGTATAATTAAACATTATTTAATCAAATTACGAATATAAAAAAAACTGTTGTGTATTCATTACAGGTAAATTTGTGTTACTTGTTTAAGTGAGTAAAGAAATATATGTGATATTTGGTATTAAAATATATAGGCAACACTTCAGATATGACTAACGGTAAAAAATGTGGCAACTTTGTCTAACTATGATAGAAGTTTAAAATAGTATAGTAGTTGTTTTCTGGTTATGTTAAGTCGGCTTCAAGGTTATATCAGGTAAAAGTGATAAAACAATTGTACAAGTGATACATTAATACTCCTTGCGCTCGATGACACATCTGTGCAAAAAAAGAAAAAGTTTTTGCTACGAAACAATCCACAAAAGCAAAATGAACATATTGAAATCATAAACCAATCTCACAGAATCAAGTGGGAAGTCGAAATATCTTGGTTTACATTATCTGGTTGCGTTAGGCTTTAATCGTAGTTACAAGAGTATAATAAATATAAATATAATTAATTACACTCTGATAGAAGATTAGATCACAGGTTATTTTATAATAAATTCACCATTATATTCGTTTTTAATACAAGAAAATGCTGTAATAAAAGAAATTTCGAACACATTTTTATAACGTCCCAAAAAAATTTTTGCTATTTGTACAAAAAACCTCCTTCTTTTGGGAATTCGGTCAAAAATAAATATCATCTACGATATCAAACTAAATTTTGATAACTAAATAAGGCGTTATAAGGAAGCGCCCTTTATCTATTTAATTAACTGTCACAGTATCCTTATCGTACTGTAGCTGCTGAGACAGTTTCTAGCCAAGGAATTTTTTATGCAAGCTGTTTTCAGTCGTCTCGTAACTCACTTTCAACGGATAAGGCGACGACTGTTGTTGTAACACCTAATGGGTTGTGTGCTTCGAACGTAATATCGCCAGTGTCATTTTGAACTGTTTCTGATATCGTCAAAATTGATGTTCCATCATCTAATTCCTCTATTTGATATTCTTGAGAATGTTTAATTTCCGCACCCTTTTTCATCCATCTAATAATCGGTTTAGGCATTCCGATAGCCTTAGCTTCCAATCTATAAAAAAGAAAAGGTTAAATATTCATGGATATATTTCATAAAATTTTATTACCAAAGTCCTGGATTTTTTATACCTAGTAAATTCTCCTTCAGTGGTAGATACAACCGTGGGTAAGGCTTTTACAATTTGTGGCGCGAATTCTTCAATGTCACTCGTTTTCTGTAATTAATTATTTTGTAATTAAATTAAATTATATGATGCGATAGCGAAATAAAAACAATATATCTTTAAAAAAGAAATTTACAACTCAAATCTTAATCGCGGAATGATCAGTGTTGTATGAAATGGATCCTATTAATAGATTCTTAAATTAAGATAACAATAATATAAAAAAAGCTGTAACGAACGAGTAGGCGTTACCTCCGTTTTGTTTTTAAATTTAACACTCAAACAAGAAAATTAAAAATTACCTCGTCGCTTAGAACGTCTTCTTCAGATGCGCTGGGTACATATTCGTAAGCTAAAAAAGAAATGAATATAGTACATTTTTTGAAAAATGGTACAATTTCTTATATCTCGATCTCGATTAATAATATCTCCCGGTTTCTAAAATTAACACCCATTTTCCACAAAGCAACTAGCGGCGAACAGGCTTTCACTCTACAACAGTCGCGGTCACGCCAGTGAACATACGAGTAGAACACGCGATAGCTGTAGAAGTGTCAGACGCAAGTTGAGAGTCACTTAGTGGAAATAGGGTCTTACTGTTAAAATCTAAGGCATGACACACTTTTCGTAAGAAGAAGGAATTGCACTAAAAAGCTCTATAATAATTAAGAACTGTAAAGCCTTAATAGCTAAATGCTAAGCTATGTGCTTGTTGCGCTACTAATATTCAAAAGCTTAGAATCTCATCCATTGAAAATATTTTTTTGAAGTGCTAAACAAACAACGTGTTCCGTGATTTTTTGTTCAAATAATGTTATAAAAGACAATCTTCATAATTTTAATAGTCTACAGATGCATGGCCAGTGTAAAGTATGAAAGTTATTTAAATGAACTTGTTATTGAGATAATGCACTGCTTCACTTTTTGACGCCTCCAACATGCAGTTCACTATTTCACCTCATGCAATCATGTAACCAAACGTAACTACCTTCTACAATAACAACGCATTCACTGCTACATGTTCCATAACTATTTATTGCTTCACAGATATAAGTTCCAGACATTTCTGGAAAAGCTTCTTTAATACATAATTCGCACATTCCGTGTTCTTGTCTAGCTATTGATATATCCTTTTCATGTTGTATTACTTCTCCATTTCGATGCCAAACTATTTTTGGGTATGGTTTACCAATAACTTCGCACGATAATACTATTGGTTCTCCATCCATTACGACTAATGGTTTTAGAGGGTTTGTAAAATGAGGAGCCATTCCAGTAGATTTTTCCGTTTCACTTTCCAATACGATACTAGCAGAACAAGACACAGATCCAGCAAAATTGTCAGCTCTGCATGTCAATACTCCTATAAATTCTTCAGTAATATTTTCCACGCATAGGCATGATACGTTTTCTCTGTTTGTAAGACAAACGTTATTTAGTTTATGTTCTTTTATATGAGATGTTATGTCCATGTTGCCTATGAACCACTGGAAGGAGGCATTTGGAGAAGAAATAACCTCGGTTTCCAATAAGAGTGTATCCCCTAATTTTATAGACCGCGGTTGCAAATATCTTACAAATACAGGTGCTTGAATTTCATCATCCTCTTCCGTAGGCTTCTTTAACTTCACTGAACAAGCCGATTTCGCAATTTGACCATCAACACTTTCAACAACAATCTCATATTTCCCGGCCTTTGTTTTATCTACGTTCTTTATTTTCAAACTTGACGTTTCGTGCGTTGTCTCTATTACACATTCATCGGTGTGTTCTAATTGGTGACCATTACGAAACCACTTCACAATACTGTGTTCCGGAGCTTTAAATGTAACAGATAAATCAAAATCGTGACTGCTTTCGATCCTTAGCGCTTTTAAAAACCCAGTTATTATTGGTCCTTTTTCTGAAAATAGTGGATATTGTTATTTTTCCTTGGTAGAACTACTCATTACATTGTCGTTATTATACAAAACGGTTTTATAAAGTCAGATATGGCCCTTGAGACGTAGTATAGTAATAATTCCTGTTGTATTTTTTTTATAAAAACGAACATCAAATTATTAAAATAATATGACATTACACTTCGTGTTATTACATTTTTATAATTGCAGTTATAAATAACAATAATAAAACTTAGAAAATTACATAGACAAAATAGATTAAGAAATTGTAACAACTATATAATTCAATGTAATACATAACTACCCACTGCTTATTTTGTATGTATGTGTAAGCAAGATATGTGTTTGCCATGCATCTGTGGTTATTTTGTTCAATAATCCGTCTAAATCTCAAACAGGTAATCGGCTTTCCAAAACGCTCTTTTAATATATGTACAAAGTTGATTTTACAATTTTTACAAAGACAAGTAACAAATGTTATCGGTCCAGAATTAAAAGTAAACATAAAAAAATACCTTCTTTTTCAATTTTCTCTGGTTTCTCTTCTTCAACTTTTTTCTTTTCCTTTGGTTTCTTAGGGATATCCAATTTCTTATTAATGTTTTCCTCAGGCATTTGTTCTGCAACATCTGGCTTTTCTTCTTCTTGAATTGATTGTTTCTTAACGGGCTTCAAAATTACTTGCTCAACTTCTTCTTCCGTTGGTTTCTTAATTTTTGTTACCTTCTTCTGTTCTTTGGTTTCTGTAATAACACTTTCCTCCACCTGTTTTTCTATCTTTACAGGTTTCAGATGCACTTCTTCAGGCTTTTCCTCTTCTTGAGCAAGTTGTTTTCTTACCGGCTTTAAAACTACCTTCTCAACTTTTTCTTCTGTTGGTTTCTCCACTTTTGTTACCTTCTTCTGTTCTTTGGTTTCTGTAATAACACTTTCCTCCACCTCTTTTTCTATCTTCACAGGTTTTAGATGCACTTCTTCAGGCTTTTCCTCTACTTGAGTAATTTGTTTCCTTACTGGCTTCAAAACTACCTTCTCAACTTTTTCTTCTGTTGGTTTCTCCACTTTTGTTACCTTCTTTTGTTCTTTGGTTTCTGTAATAACACTTTCCTCCACCTGTTTTTCTACCTTTACAGGTTTTAGATGCACTTCTTCAGGCTTTTCCTCTTCTTGAATAATTTGTTTTCTTACCGGCTTCAAAATTACTTGCTCAACTTTTTCTTCTGTAGGTTTCTCCATTTTTTTTACCTTCTTCTGTTCTTTGGTTTCTGTAATAACACTTTCCTCTACCTGTTTTTCTATCTTTACAGGTTTTAAATGCACTTCTTCAGGCTTTTCCTCTTCTTGAGCGAGTTGTTTTCTTACCGGCTTTAAAACTACCTTCTCAACTTTTTCTTCTGTTGGTTTCTCCACTTTTGTTACCTTCTTCTGTTCTTTGGTTTCTGTAATAACACTTTCCTCCACCTCTTTTTCTATCTTCACAGGTTTTAGGTGGACTTCTTCAGGCTTTTCTTCTTCTTGAATTGTTTGTTTCTTAACGGGCTTCAAAATTATTTGCTCAACTTCTTCTTCTGTTGGTTTCCTGATTTTTGTTACCTTCTTCTGTTCTTTGGTTTCTGTAATAACACTTTCCTCCACCTGTTTTTCTATCTTCACAGGTTTTAGATGCACTTCTTCAGGCTTTTCCTCTTCTCGAGCAAGTTGTTTTCTTACCGGCTTTAAAACTACCTTCTCAACTTTTTCNNNNTTTGGTTTCTGTAATAACACTTTCCTCCACCTCTTTTTCTATCTTCACAGGTTTTAGATGCACTTCTTCAGGCTTTTCCTCTTCTTGAGTAATTTGTTTCCTTACTGGCTTCAAAACTACCTTCTCAACTTTCTCTTCTGTTGGTTTCTCCGCTTTTGTTACCTTTTTCTGTTCTTTGGTTTCTGTAATAACACTTTCCTCTACCTGTTTTTCTATCTTCACAGGTTTTAGATGGACTTCTTCAGGCTTTTCTTCTTCTCGAGTAATTTGTTTCCTAACTGGCTTTAAAACTACCTTCTCAACTTGTTCTTCAGTTGGTTTCTCCACTTTTGTTACCTTTTTCTGTTCTTTGGTTTCTGTAATAACACTTTCCTCCACCTCTTTTTCTATCTTCACAGGTTTTAGATGCATTTCTTCAGGCTTTTCCTCTTCTTGAGCAATTTGTTTCCTCACTTGCTTTAAAACTACCTTCTCAACTTTTTCTTCTGTTGGTTTTTCCAGTTTTGTTACCTTCTTTTGTGATTTGGATTCTGTGATTACGTTATCCTCCATCTGTTTCTCTATCTTTACAGGTTTTACTTCTTCGGGCTTTTCTTCCTCAGTTCTTTCCGTTTTTTTAACTGGTTTTAGAATTACTTCTTCAACTTGTTCTTCTACTTGTTTATGCAGTTTTCTTGTTGTCTGCTTCTTCTTCTTGTTGTCTTCTTCCTCTCTTGCAGTAGTCCGAGCAATATCTTCCTTATTTTGTTGCGCCTCGGGCAATTTCTGACTTGTACGCCATGGAACTTTTACCAAATTTGCATTATCCTGAGTTTTTGTAAGGTCTTCTTGCTCAGACTTAGGTATATTAGCTTCCATTGGTTTTTCGATCGGCATGACAGAAACTTCTTCAGGAACTTCTTCTTGTTCAGTTGGTTTTTTACCTCGTCTCCACGGTGCATCTGGTCTTTCCGGTGTGTCGTGTTTCGACAGGAGATTTTTAGGCGTGATATGTGTTTGGCTTTGTGCCTGATCTTCTAATTTACCCTCAACAATGATTGACGTGGTCTCTTTTGTTACATGTTCGACTTTTTGTTTTTGTTTTCCAGTACGCCAACTGACTTCTTTAGGTTTTACTTTTTCAACAAGCTCGTCATCAACTTCCACTAAAGGTTTTTCCACAGGAACCTCAGACGAATCATGCAATTTTAAAACGACAGTATTTTCTTCAGATGTTAAAGCTTCCTCAATAACAACAGTCTCTACTTTTTGTATAGAATCTTTCCTTACTTGACGTAAGGATACATCAGCAATTTTTTCTCGAGTTAACGGGACTTTTTCTACTTTTGTTGGTTTTAATTTAATTGCCTCCTGTGTCCATGGAACTACATCATCTCTTTTGTTAGCTTCAGGTTTTGGTTTCTGTTGTTTTTGTGATGTTACGGTTTCCTCGATTGTTTTTTCTGATTCTAAGAGGACAGACTCGACATTAGTCGGCTTTTGCCTTCTCCAGTGTCTCGTTTCAGTATCTTTATTTTCATCTAGTTCTGTAAGAGATTCACTTTCTTTAGTTGTTTTAATAGACTTAGATTCTTCCTTTTCAGATCTCGGCTTTCGCCATGATCGTGTTTCCAGTGTCTTAGTTTCTTGAATGCCCTTTTTTACTACGTCCTCATCGACTTCTATAGTACTTTTAGAAATAACACTTGAAGATTCTTCAGTAAATTGTTGAAGCTTTTTTGTATCTTCATGACGAGGTTTTCTCCAATGTTTTACTTCTAAAGATTCTTTTTGTATTATATTTACATCTTCTGTGGTCTGAAGGCGCCATGGAATATTTTGCACTTTCCTCATATTTACATCTTGAACGTGATCTAATTTTAAGATATTGCTATCTTCAGTAGTTTGATACATAGATTGATTAGTAACAATTGTCGATTCTTCTGATTTGTCAGTGACATCCGTTTTGTACTTCATTGTTTTACTGCTTCTGCGTTTTTGAGTTTCTGAAAAAGAAGTAAAGGATTTTAAGAAATAAAAGTAATTCTTTATTACAGAACGACTACTAAAACTAATTTTATAAATGTAGAAGAGTTTGGATTATGAGTTACGTGATTTGTTTTTCATTGACTTTTAAAGTAAATATAAATTTTGCTTTGATATTTAAACATTTATTTTTATTTACTCTTATTATGTTCAATCATAACATCAAATATTTTGGTTTTTAATCTATTACTAATGTTTGTTTAGGTATATACCAGTCGTATTTTACTTACTGAATTTAATTTTAAGAACATTTGATATCTTACAAAAAGAAAAAAAAACGATAAAATAATTCAGTTATTAGGATGAACCCTTAAGTAATTATTAATTATTATCGCGATTACAAATAGGGCCTAGCATGCTGATTATTAAAATTTAATCTTTTTTTTTTAATTAACCTTAACCGATTTTTTAAATTGTCTGTGTAAATTGTATATCAGTTATTTAATCTTATTTTTATCTTCAAGAGCAAAAATTGAGGAAGATTGAGGAGATTCAAGGACACAAATAATGGTCGATTGTATCTAATTAAGGAGTACGTAACGTTCAGGTTAGTATAAACATAATTTTTTCCCTATATAATAACTATCAAAGGTTTCTTTTTCCCCGAATAAAGATACAGTCATACTTTTTGGAAAACTAACATTCTGATTCCAATCTGTACAAATATAATAAAGCGTTAACACGCACTACTTTGTGGCGTAGGATGTCAGCAAACACAGCATAATTTTGAATAATTCTTTCTTTAATAAAAAGTCCTACACTTACGACACACTTTAGGCTATATATTTTCACGCTATCAAACTTAGAGGTTGATCAAATTGGAAAAAAATCCTTTATGTGGGAAAGGTAAACAAGCTGCCAATATTAAGGACGCAACGTTATTTTGACATTTCCAATTGATAATTTGACAAATGTAAACAATAACATAAAGTTTAAATAACTTCCTGCGATTGAAGCCGTAAGGCAACAACTAGTTAAAAATATTCATAAAGATATTAGAATAACTTCTAAGCAATAACGTATTCATCTCATAGATTTATTTACTCTTTCTAGTCATTTGTGTAATCGGTAAGTTATAGAAATAGCTGCCAAGTCACATACAGTATATTAATAAAAAAAATTGAAATATTACAAAAAAAACACTAAGCAGGTTTAGTATTATTTTTTTAAATAGCCAGAAAGAAGTAGGTTTCATTTTTATTTCATTATTTCCTTTATAAATTATGCACACGTCATAACCATCAAGGTATTGTATTTTATAGTTATCACTTTTTAACGAGACTCGATTCGCAACGATGTTAATAAATAGCGAGCCCACAATTCGTCTGCCTTATTCTAAACATCGCAAGATCTTTAAAAATCCTATGTTACTCAAACATCTAATACCTTCTATTCAAATTTACGTCAAAAACCGTTCAGCTGTTTCGAAAATCATGTGAGAATGATATAACAAAGAAATAAACGTTAATATTATATTTCACACGATCCTAGTGCAATCCTAGTTTCCTCTAAATTTATAGCACTACGCTTTCTTATTGGTCATGAGGGTGAATTAATGGTTAATTTCATTCATTCATTCATTCATTCATTCATTGTTCCGTTTGGGCGGTCTCAGTCCACTTTCTTTTACTAGAACTAAAACCTCTTAAACATAACTTTATTAATCACAGTTCATCCATCCTTCCATATTCTTATTCGTATTCAACCCCTTTATAACTGGAAATCATTCATCTTCCTGCTAATCCTAATCCCGTAAAGTCGGCGCAAAAGGTTTTTGTCCTCCAAATAACTCTATCATACGTCATCTCAGTCATCACTCCCTTTTTCATCATGAAAAAAGTTAGTCTGAAATATAAGTTAAAATATGTAGACAATTTTTTATATGTCTGCTGTCATATTAGCAACCCGCCCCGGCTTCGCCCGGGTGGCAGAGCAAAAGCCCACGTGCGTTTTTTAACGCGCGTTAAAAGTTACCTCACATATTTCTGTTCTTGAAAAGGTGTCATGGAATCTGTTCTTTTATTTACAAAACTTTAAAATTATTAGCAATTTAAAAAGATTTTTTTTTTTAATTAATGATCAAAAAGATTAATAATGTACTTTATTTGTATCCAATGTGTACTTTCAACTATGTTGTACTATGCCAATTTTAGCGAGATACGTTAAGCTATCCTAGATATACGTAGTCACAAACATTCATCCATCGACCGTAATAAAAATTGCAAAAAAATCGGTTCAATCGCTCATATCACGTCGGGGTCACCACTAAAGACACACATGTTCATATGTCTCTATCTATTACATATAATAAAAATGCGAGTGCTTTTGTTCCGGGTAACCTCCGAAACGGCTGGGCCGATTTCGACCGGACTTTCACTGGAAAATAGCTAACATAGGCGAGCATATTATAGGCTACTTTTTTTTTAAATTCCGCACTGTCAAAAGCGACTGGACCGCTATCTCTGGAACGGTTAGACCGATTTGGGCGGCACTTTGGCTGGAAGGTAGCTGGTAAAAAGTAAGTTTACACGGGAATGTTATAAAATACATTTTTTTTTAATTCTACGCTAACAAAGTTTGCGGGCGACAGCTCGTATATCCTAATTATGTTCATTCGTCTCACTATCTCGTCTTGTGTCCTTATGACAATGTTTTATTCTTTCACAACTGACATGCGCCGTTGACCTTTTTGCCTGCCAGATACAACGCCACACTTATGTGTCTTACTAGCTGATACCCATAACGTCGTCATTTCACGCTTGTATATTATTTGTCCCCTATCTTACACACACGGGATCTCTCACTTTCTCATTAAAATTCTAAAGGTCAGTCCCACCAAATTGTAAATTGTCTGATAACAATCCAACGTGTAAAATATATCCTGGAAATATTGTATTTTGTTCCCTTATCTGATAGTGACGTCATTTTTAAGCTATCTGAGCCTCTATCAGCCAGTGGTAGGACAGGCCCTACACATTGACTACATTGAATATGACCCGTATGTTATACTACCTTTTACTCGATACTTCGACTGCGCAAAATTGAAAATGGATGAAAAGTACTTGATATTTGAAAGTATGGTCTATATCTATGCTAAATTTCAATAAGATATTTTGCTACTGTTGCGGTGTTATCGAGTAAATATAATAATCAAACGTAACACGCGGGAACCGTACACATTTCTTGGATTCTAGGTAGCCAAAGTTTAGAGAAACCTTCTAAAAACATCTATCCAAAGAAGTAAGAAGTAAGTCTTATCACAAGTTAGAGCGCGCACACCTATGACTAAACTGTCGCACAACCGTTTAGTCTCGCTTTGATTCATATGAACTTAAATGGAGGCACACTAGTCGATTTTTATTTATTTTTTGATTATTGTGCAACTAAACAGTTGAATCGGCTAAGAAACAATCGACAATCGCACAAAAGTTTAATCGAAGGTGTGCGCCCGCTTTGACGGCACTGAGCAGAAGAACGCGGGACGCGGTCGATGTTGGTGGGAAGGGGAGTCATCGGCAAACCTGCGCGTGGCTAGTACCTACAAGAATTAATTTTAGAGTAAAGTGGGTCACAACATTTTTATACAATTCATCATTACTTTGGCTATACCGTGATACCGCATATGACCATTTTTTGACCGACTTCGCAAAAGAAAAGAGGTACTCAATTCATCTGTATCTGTATTTTTGTGTTACGGCATATCTCCTCGGTGGACTGATTTTGAAAATCCTTTTTTGAATCCGTAAGGTAGTGCTTATATAAAATTTCCTTACTAGCTTTCGCCCGCGACTTCGACCGTGTGGAATTAAAAAAAATAACAAAAGCATATAGACTAAATCTTCTTCCTGACTATTCTCTACATCAACACCAAATGACATCAAGATCCATTAAGCAGTTTAGGCTACAAACTCTAACGACCATCCATCCATCTAAACTCTCGCATTTATAATAATTATATAAAATTTCTGGTTATATAGAGAAGACCAGCTTACCAATACTTACGATTCCTCTTAGATTCTAAGAGTTACTTAGCCTCGTTCGTCGATATATTTGTTTCCCGTATTTTTTTCAAATTTTTCAGCTAAATCTTTTGTGTTGAAATGACTTATCAAATTATGTGTTGTCTTAAGCGTATTGTGTATCTTTCTGACAATTGTTTACTTGGCAAAATGTTAATAACTACTCATAAACATACAATAGAAGTAAAAATATCATGTAAAAAAGGTTGGTAAGTTCATCATGATTAAAATAATTAGTTAATAAGGATCACTCGCAAGTGATTAGAAACTATATTAGAATAGTTAATTAACTGTTTAGTTACAACAGTAGCAAAGAAAAAAATCTAGTATATTAAAACTAAAATTTTGAGTGAATGACATGAATACCATATATTTCTTACTAATATGTGAAGAATTTGTGACCCTTGTCTCGTAGGGAAAGGTCTAAACCGAAATTTAAAACTACATTTAAATGCGTCTCGAGTAATCTGCGTATAAAAAACTACATACGAGTACTTTGTGAATGTGTCTGTATTAGGAATGGACACGAGGTGTGCTCGTCGCCAAGTGTATAGAATAATGCAAAGTGGTAATTAATTTATAGCATTTATTCAACAGTTTTCACATAAAGGTAACATACAAAATTTGTGTCATAAATATATTAAATATGGATAGGTACTAGAAATATTAAGTGATAAAAAAAAACTGTCACATCTAATAATACATTTAGGTGAAACATACAACACAATTTAATTTCAACAATATCGTGCACTTAAAAAACATAGTTACTGAAAAGTTAAACTATAAATCTCATTCAATTTGGATTTGTACTTGCAGAAAACATTAGGTCATCAAAAACGGCAGTGTTTGTCAAAACATAGAAACTGGCAAGGCAAGAAATGCGTGCGTACTTTATTTAATTGGATAGTCGCAAAGGTGAGCGACTAACAAGTTTATGTTTCTTTGTCATAGGAGAGTTGACAGCGGATAGCGGACTAGGGATTGCTTACGTACAAATTAACGGTTATGTTTCCGTGTCGCGAGAACGATCCAGCCACAGCCCGATGCAAGATCTAACGCTGAATTCGCGCTTACAAGAACAGGTACGGCGCGGCGTGGCATTGACAATTGTATCAGTTGGGGTGGGGGGCTCAGAAGACGGCACGAATCTTACCGCCTCCCATGAGCATTGATTATGTTAAGTGCGACAAAACCTCACCCGCAAATATCTTAAACGGCTACAACAAACAGTCACTCATGCTGGACAACTCTTAATTAAATTTTATTTTAATTTAAAAATGTTATATGATTTATTATGCAAAATTTAATATTGAGTTTGATATGATGAATTAATCGGTTAAATACATGATTGTTTTATAATTAAATGATTATTAATGATGATGTAAAAACACCGAGAATAATGAATGCAACGATTTGAAACTAGAAAAAATATAGTACGAGTAGAACTGAGATCATTTGCAATACATTTAAAATATAGATCTCAATTATACACCAAAAGCATTAAATCCAAATTTGTTTGTTAATTGCGAAATAAATAATTTAAGCACAGGCTTGAATTAATGTAAGAGTATTGGGTGAAAAATACATTTGAAAATCTGCCCTGGAGCGCGGCATATATTTTACGAATAGTATATTTTTTCTTCTTTATTTATTGATTTACCGTAAATGTCGTAAATATCGAAACATTTAGTAGACATCGTAGCGGTAAAAGCAAAACAAAAAACAACTGTATAACATCTGTGTTCGTGTTAATCACATGTTACGTATATACAGAAGGTATAACGGAGGTCGTGTCTCGTCGCTCGTTGTCAACACTCCAGCGGTGGCTTGTCTCCTCGAATAACTAGGACTGTTTACACAAAAAGCTTATATATACAGCATTGTTAGATGCGTGAAATTCGCGCAAATTTGACGGAGTTAAATTTACATTCGAATCCATGATATTGTTAGAGAAATCGCGTACTGTTGTCACTGAGGTTGATACGCGCGTTACGGCAGCTGTGGCACCGCGAGGGCTATTGGAAACGGTCGCTAAGTACGCGGGAGTCTATGTGCCATACAATCACGACTAGGCGCTAAACTAGGAAGCGGGCGGAATCGTTACTGCGGAACCGCTACGATTGTGTGAAGCATTGTAAAGTGATGTTGTATTTCGCTTGTCAACTTAGTAGTCCTATGTGATAGTAGTTTTCACCCGATCTCATTGAGGTATAGAGATGAAACAAAGAAACACTAAATTAATGGATTAAAGTGCGCGACGCGAGCTCGCTGCCTGTATCTATGTCTTACTTTTGACGACTAGTTTTGCCGAAGTCTCAACTTGGCCGGCGGCAGTGGTAGCGCGACACGTGAACGTGCCAGTATCTTCTTCGTAAGTGTTATAGATGACCAGGTAAGCATTGTTGCCCTCGTGAATCATCTGGAAAATAAGAGAAACATTCGTTGAAGTAGATTCATCAAAATGTTTACAAAGAAATACGTGGATAACTAGGTCACTAATTGGCTCTTAGTCATTCCATTCATTATGTAAAGTTCTGCAATTATTAAATCATTTCAGTCTTAGTTTTTATTTTTAAATTTGTCGAAGAGACGAGCGGTTTGTAGAACTCAACTTCGAAGGCAGATCATATACACGGTAACGAAATAACAATCGCGTAACATTAGAAACACTATCCTTAATTGACCACCATCTTAACTGATAACTTCACAACACACTCTAATCGAATTGCAAATATTTTAAGAGATTATCCAATTGATTTTAAAACAACAAAACGCATCATTCCACTATTCAAAGACAACTGTCATCAGTTAATCTATCGTCTTGACATCTATCATACACGACGTACAATCAGCCAGTACTCAAAATTATTAGTTGCCAGTTACTTTAATCTTTCAAAAGGTATCAATAATTTCGCTGCGTTATATTTAAAATAATACTTACTTCAAAATCAGGATTTTCGGGGATGAGAGCACCTTCCCGAAGCCATTGAATAGTTGGTTTATTTTTGCTAGTGATGTTCGTTTTGAATTGCGCTGGTTCTCCTTCATAAACTGTGACGTCACGCAGCGATGTGAGTGTCGGCAGATTATCCGCTTGATCAGGCTGAATCACCTTCAGTTTAGCAGAAACAGTCACTCTTCCAGCGGAATTGTAAGCAACACATCTATAATCGCCTTCATCTTCTGGGAAAGCTTCGGAAATCAGTAAGGTATAGTCGTCGGCTGTTCTAGACATTTGGAAGTATTTCGATGGCTTTATCAATTTGTCACCTTTGTACCATTGCACAGTTGGAATTGGTTTTCCAACTATTTTACATACGAATTCAATAGCTTGTCCTTCAGTTACTACTCTGTCTTTCAGAGGTTCAATTATTTCTGGAGGTGAATTGGCAACTTTAGTCTGCGGCTTAGGTTTTTCTTTGGTAGCAGGTGCAGTTACCAGACACTCAGCGTCGCATCTTGCTTCTCCAGCGCTGTTGATTGCAACGCATTCGTATTTACCGGAGTCTTGAGGGTAGGCTTCAAGAATAAGAAGTGTGTATGTTCCATCTTCTTCTAGGATCTTGTTTTTAATATCTGACTGTACTTTCTTGCCGTTCTTTAGCCAATAAACATCTATTGGCTTAGTTCCAGTAACTTTCGTGTCGAATCGCACCAACTGGCCCGAAGTGACGTTAACATTTTGAGCTGTTAAGGTGAAACTAGGAGGTATGGTTTCACCCCTGGTCTGGCGCCTACGTTCTTCAACTACCAAATTAGCGCTACATTTAGCGGTGCCGCCTCTGTTTTCAGCAACAGCCGCGAACACAGCAGAATCTTCTACAAACACTTGCCGAATAATCAGAATAGACTTTGTACTAAAGGTGTGTATTTGGAAATCAGGAGAATTTTTGATCGGGAAATTTTCTCTGTACCATTTGATTGTAGGTAATGGATCTCCGTCAAATTCAACTTCAAATCTTGCTTGTTCATGCTCGAAGGCACGGCATGGTTGCATCTTCCTAGTAAATACGGGAGGAGTGCAAGGCTTCACTGGCCCTTCAACGACTCGTTCGTGAGTCTGTCCCTTATGTTCAACTTCAGTTGTTTCTGTTGAAACAATTTTACGGGTGATTTCAGTGTCGCCGATGACTTCCTTTTGTATTTGCTTTTGTTTGGCAACGTGCACCTCCTTCCCGTGAACACTAGATTCCGATGGTTCTGGAATTCTTGGCTTAAAGGTTTTCTTTTGAACTTGCTTCTCTACTACTTCTTCAGTTTGCTCTCTGTAATAGAAATAATAAAAAAAATAACAGCGATAATTTTACTGATGATGACGTGGGATGATAGTAAACAATTTAAACTTGTGGAGACGAATGTTATTTGCTAATCCGATGAATAAGCGTCCCCTTGTTTTTATAATCAAATTTGTGTTTCAGATAATAGGATAAACGAGAAAACATATTGGCTTAGCCATTTCACGTCAAAACATATAGGTACGTAGATTCTTTGATATATTAAATTTTAAGCTACTTACAAATTATCTTCATATTTCTGGGCCATTGATCTTGCCACAGAGCTGCTTGTAACCTTTTCCCCAGGAACAGCGTATTGATGAGAGGACTCTCTCATTCTGCTCTCTTTAACGACTTGTTCATTCTCCAGTTCTTGAAGCTTGTTGTAATATTCTTCGCTCTTCTTCTTTTTAACAGTTTGTTGCCATTCAGTTTCCGGTTCCTTAATGATTTTCTGCTTCAATTCAGGTCTATGATCAATAACACCTTGACGTTGCATCGTTTGCCTTTCTTCGAATGTTTTCTCTAATTCAGTACCAGTGCGCTGATATTGTGTCGTTTCGTCGTACCAAGCTGTGCGTACAAAATTACATTAGAATTGATAATTTTGAGTTTATGTTAGTTATATTCTTTATTGTATCACAACATACCTTCAATAATAACTGCTGGTAAGCCGGCAGAAGCAGGTGGTTTAGCAGCGGCATCGCAGGAGTACAGGTTAAGTTGAAGGGCAAAAGGAAGCAAGGGATTATTGTGTGCTTAAGCGGTGTGTGGATGTGTGCGTGAGGTAGTAAAGTGTTAAAGCATATCAAAAGCGTTGCCTTGTTAAGATTTTATTTATCAAACCCTATTTTTGTTCATTTTTGATGAGTAATCATTATGTAAATATTTTTTGGTTATTGAATATAGTATGTCAATATCAATCAATGCGCAACATAACGATGCGTGAAGGTACTTACGTCTTGGCGCATTTTTAAGAACACTTCTATAATCATCGTGTCTCGGGACCACTTTTAGTTCCGTTGTGGCCACAGCTTCGCCGACTGAGCTCCTAGCGATAACCTCTACTTTGCCAGTATCGTATTGTCTAGTTTTAGGAATATCGAAGTGATACATTCCATCATACGTCAGTTTATATCTCGAACCCTGTAATAATAAAGTCATTTGTTACTAGTAACATGAATGTATTATTCAAATAGTAATTATAAAAAATGAGTAGTATTTTTACATTAACAATGGTGTTTCCATTGATCAACCACATGACCCGTGGCTTAGGATGGCCTGTGACGCGGCAGCAGAATCTTGCCCACTCGCCCTCTTCAACAGTCACTGGTTCAGGACGACTTACGAAGACAGGCGCACACCGCTCTTTAGTCTCCTCAACTTTCTGTTCTGGTGCTCTAATAACAAACAAACAATAGGTCTCATTACCATAACCGTTCAGCTCAAGCGCACAAATTAGTGAATTTAAAATGATGCAAAGTCAAATGAGGTCTAAACTCTAAATTAGGTTATAATGCGAAAGAAACAACAACCAGTCTATAAATCGGCCTTTAAAATCCTAGTTATGTTATTAAAATACTTACATCTGCCATGATGCTTCCATTTCCCGAATCTTTTCAATACTCTTCATGTGTTTGGGCAATTGTGAGTCGTAGACAATGCCAGGTTTGCCAGCCGTTTTAATAACAGCCCTAGTTTCGTCCATACCATACAAATTAGTGGCACGGCAAAGATATTCTCCACTGTCCTCGGGGTATACCCAACCGAAGTTCATTGCAACGTAACCAAAATCGTAGATGGGAGTAAAGCGATTTTCTAAAATAAAAAAAAAAAAAAGTTACTTCAGTGTATTATAAAGAGATCACTTTTTTAATCTTATACAAAAATAGCTTACTATGCAGTAGCGGTTTCCCGTTGAAGAACCATTCAACTTTCATATTAGGATCTCCTACTGGTGCTAGTTGACATTCAAATTTAGTTGTTTCCATTTCCACCAACGTAGTTTGACTTTGAATTTGAGTGACAAAACGCGGTGGTTGTTTCTTATCGGCATCGTAAAGATCATCCTCCGTCAAAAACACTTCAGACGTGTATTTTTTAATTGTTGCTTCCATCTGAGTTAGAGCTTCGGACTTCTTCATACCCCTAGGTACTTGATTCTGCAGGATGATGTCAGGTAAGCCTGTTTAGAGAATAATGAAGCAATTAATGACAATTTATAATAAATTAATTAAATCATAATTGAATTATTTAGGATACAAACTTTTGCATGATACAGTTCCTTTCGTTGTATCTTCGCCGAAGTCGTTGACCGCACGGCAAACGTACTCGCCGGAGTCCTCAGCGTACACATACAAAATGTCAAGCGATACGAAGCCCATGTCATAGACAGTGCGGAATCTATGTCCAGATGGCAACAGTTTTCCATTCCTATACCACTCGATACGTAACTTAGGATCTTCCTTCGGTTCCACACGGCATTCAAAGCGGATAGACTCAGATTCCTCAACAGTATGAGATTGTATTTGAGTTATGAATCTTGGTGGTGAGTTGATAACGGGTTCTTCTTTAGGCACGTCACTAATACGACCTCTTTCCAATTCCTTTATCTTTTCGCCGCTCATACCTTGTGGCAATTGAGATTCTAGTACAATGTCTCGTTTTGTACTGCATGTTATCTTAGCAGTAGTTGTTGCTGATCCCCATTTGTTGGTAGCTCTGCAAGTATACTCGCCTGCGTCACGAGTATAAATGTAATCGATATCAAGAGCAATGAAACCAAAGTCGTTTAGCATATGTACTCTAGAGCCAGTCGCAAATGGTTTACCATTGTAGAACCAATCAATCCTCATTGTCGGGTCACCCACTGGTTCGACTCGGCAATCGAAGTGTATTGGCCCGCCTTCAGGAACATCGAGGTTGTCTTTAATTTCAACTGTAAACCTTGGCGGGTTTGGTTTTTCATCCTCAACAGTGATTTCTTCGCGTTTGTATAATGTTTCTTCCAATTTTTGAATGCTCTCCGTTCCCGATTTAAAGTGGGATGGGAGTTGTGGTTCAAGTATAATGCCCTGTCTACCTTTCACTTGAAGTTTGCAGGATACGGTGGCTTCTCCGTGTTTGTTGGTAGCTTTGCAGGTGTAGAGTCCAGCGTCACGTTGATAAACTCCACCAATTTCTAATATGACGAATCCAAAATCGTTAATAGTTTTAACTCTTGAGCCTGTTAAGAGGGCTTTTCCATTATGGAACCATTCTACTCTCATGCTGGAGTCGTTGACAGGAATTAAGCGGCATTCAAAGTGAGCGGAAGAATTCTCCGACAAAATAAGATCAGACGGTGTAGTAATAAATTCGGGTGGATTACCGCTCTCCGCTTCCGGTGTTAAAGAGTCAACAGTGCCAGTATATCCTTCTAGAGCAGCAATCTTGTCAATGGTTCCTTCCATTCCTTTCGGTAGTTGTGACTCGAGAATAATGTTTCTCTTTCCTTGAACTTTCATAGTAGCTGTGGTAACAGCCTCGCCGTAATTGTTGACCGCCCTGCATAAGTATTCACCAGAATCCTCGGGATAAGTAGGAGATATCTCAAGAATGACGAAACCAAAGTCACAGAATGTTCTAAACCTTGAGCCGGCTTTTAGAGATTTACCATTCCAAAACCATTCCACCTAAAATATAAATAAAATGGCTGAGTATACAAATTATATTTAAACATTGTTAAAACAACGTAATCATATGGGTCAACATAACCGACAAAAATAATAATAACAGAAGACTAATTTAACAAATAAAACCCAAAGGATTAATATTTAATTACCTTCAAATTGGGATCATCGGTTGGTGTAAGACGTGCTTCGAAATGAGCGTTTTCTCCCTCTCTGAGGTTTTCAATATTGGACAGTGGTACTGTAAAGACAGGCGCCTTGCCTCTTTCTTCGTCAACCGTAGTTTCTTTCTTACGTATCATTGAATCCTCCAATGTTTGCAGTTTTTCTAATCCTCCTTCCATGCCCTAGAAAAAAATTAAATAAAAATGAGGACACATTACTATTATATTCAGAATGTTTTAAGACAAGCCAGTGCATGCACTTCATTTTTAAAATAACGGCTTACAAGATCTCTTTATACTAACGAAGAACACAATGAAGTTTTTTTAAAAGTAATATTGATTGATAGAATTTAAAGTTTTTATGGCAATGTTAGTTTTTGGCACCACATTTATTTATATACTCGTATAATACAATAGTACACTTACCCGCGGTAGTTGCGAGTCCAAGATCAAATTCTCCTTTGATGTACATTTCAGTGTCGCTTTCGTAGAATCTCGTCCCAGCTTATTGGTGGCAATACATTCATATTCTCCGGAATTTTCTTCGTAGCAGTACAAAATGTCTAAGATCACAATTCCGAAGTCGTGGAAAGTTCTGTACCTATGGCCGTGTGGTAACTTCTTGCCATTGTAGTACCATTCGACTTTCAGGTCAGGATCGTCGACAGGAATTAATCTCGCCTCGAAGTGAGCGCTTTGGCCTTCAACCAATTTAGTTACGTCTTCTATTTGTGTGATAAACTTGGGTGGCTCCGCAGACGCTGGTGCTGGTGCTTGTTGTTGTGCTCCTTGGAGACTTTCTAGCTCTCTAATCTTAGCCAGTGAATCAGGCTGCAAGCTATCGAGGTAAACTCCTCCTTTGCCGTAGCAAGTGATTGTAGCTTTAGTAAAGTCTTCACCGTATTTGTTGTATGCTCGACAAACGTATTCACCTGTATCATGATTTTGGGTATATGCTATATCCATAACCACAAATCCGAAATCTGAAACTGTTTTTATTCTGGTTGAATGGCGCAAAGGCTGACCGTTGTGGTACCACTCTATCTTCATGTCAGGGTCATCAACCGGTACAACGGTGCATTCGAAATGAGCCGATTGGCCATCTTTAAGACCATCAATGCTCTGTATATGTGTTGTAAAGCGGGGCTTTTGACCTTTACTTTTATCAATACAAACCAACCTGCAACTAATTTCAGCTTGACCCCATTTGTTGGTTGCGCGACAAGAATATGTTCCGGAATCCGATTCTTTTGTTCCGAGAATTTCTAGAACCACCATGCCAAATGCATAAACAGTGCGGATTCGATGACTCGCTTCAATAGATTTTCCATTATAGAACCATTCAATGACCATACTTTGATCTCCTGTTGGTATGAGAGATGCTTCATAATGCGCAATTTGACCTTCACTAATATCCATTATGTCTTGGAAGACTGTTGTAAATTCAGGGGGTCTTCCAGTATCGTCATCTGGCTTGGCACTTGGCTCTTTGCGGAGAGAATCTTCTAGATTTTGAATCTTCTCCAATCCCTCAGCGCCTTTAGGATGCTGAGTTTTCCATATGAGATTTTCCTTGCTTGTGCAATACACAGTAGAAGAAGTGAATGCCTCACCCTTTTTGTTGTAAGCTTTACAAGTGTATATACCACTGTCCCTTTCATAAACGTCAATTAAGTCTAATGTGACAAATCCAAAGTCATTAGTAAGTTTGAATCTTGAACCCTGCTCTAGGACTTTACCGTTGAAATACCACTCCAATTTTAAGTTAGGATCGTTTTTAGGTTCAACTTGCCCTTCGAAATGTAAGGCTTGGCCTTCTACTAAATTGTTTTCAGGAGCTATAGGAACTATCCATTCTGGAGCAGGATATTCAGTATCAGGCAACGAAGATCTTCTACCTTTAGCAAGCCTGGCTTCTTCAGCTTGCTCAACCGCTTCCAGACCTGCTTTGCCTTGAGGATGTTGAGTATCGAAGTAAATGTGTTTATCACCAGTACATCTTAAGGAACCTGAAGTAGTCGCTGATCCTTTAGAATTTGTGGCTTTGCACGTATAAATTCCAGAATCTTCTTCGTAAGTGTGTGTTATGTCTAAAGCCACGTAGCTAAAATCATGAGTGCTCTTATATCTCGTTCCAGATGGAAGGGGATTGTTGTTAAAGAACCATTCTATTTTAAGAGTAGGGTCTCTCGAAGGTTCTACATTGCATTCGAAATGAATGTTATCGCCCTCCTTACAGATGATGTTATTCAAATGTGATATAAATACCGGAGTTTCATACACAGGTTCTGGTGAATCCGGCTTACCAGGTTTAGGTTGTTCCAATGCTCCGATTCTATCCAATGATTCTGGATGAAGTGACTCGCCAAGCAACCAATGCCTGTCTTCGATTTTAAGAGATGCTGTTGATACTGCTTCACCCATGAGATTAGTGGCTTTACAAGTGTAAATACCAGAATCGTCAATCCTCAAAGAATTGATCGAAAGAGTAACCAATCCAAAGTCAAATGTGCTCTTTAGTCTAGATCCAGTGGTTAAAGAAACACCATTCTTAAACCATTCAATTCTCAATTTCGGATCAGTTCTTGGTTCTACTTGAGCTTCTAAATGAACATGTTGTCCTTCGACCAGTTTGTCATAACTTTGCAAATGAGTAGTGAATATAGGCGCCTGTTGAACGCCTGTATCAATAAACATTTCAGGCACTTTATTCATAGCTGCTTCCTTAAGTTGTATCTTTTCCCAAGCTTCGGGTCTCATAGCCTGATCAACTATTGTAGATTTTGTCTTCACCTTGAGTGACGTTGAAGACACTGTACTACCAGCTCTATTAATTGCTTTGCACATGTATAAGCCTGCATCTTCAGCAACCACCGAATTAATATCTAATGTAACGAAGCCGAAGTCGTGTGTAGTGCGGAATCTTGAACCTAAAAAAAATATCGAAATTTAAACGTGTATTTAATTTATTAGTAGATCCACGAAAGATTTGATTTGATATAACATAATTAAAACTTAATTACTGCTTACCCATCTTAAGTTCCACTCCATTAATGTACCATTCAAATCGCATGCTTGGATCACCTACAGGTACAACACGGGCCTCATAGTGAGCATGTTGGCCTTCCCAAAGTTCTGAAGGACCAGTAAGTACTTGTGTAAATATAGGTTTTTCAAATTCGCGTTCCGGTTCTTCAGGCTTCTTAGCTTGGGGTTCTTCCAACCTCTGTATTTTCTTCATTCCTTCGGGGTGCTGCGTTTCCATTTGAATGGCTGCTTTAGCTGTTATTTACGAAATAAAAATGATTAAACCAAATAAAGTAACAATATTATACGTAAAAAAAGAAAGTTAAGTATTAAATTATAAATTTGTACTCACTTTTGATCCTCATAGCAGCAGTTGTAACTGCTTCTCCAAGTAAGTTGGATGCTCGGCACATGTAGACACCTTCGTCTTCATCACGCACGTGAGTTATGGTCATAGAAACATAACCAAAATCATGAGTCTTTGTAATTCTTGAGCTATCCTCAATAAGCTTTTCATTACGGAACCATTCAACTTTGAGTGTTGGATCACCAACAGGAATAAGTCTGCAGTCGAAGTGGGCGGTTTGTCCCTCTTGTATGTTGTCGATGTTCTGAAGTGGTTGTGTAAACACAGGTCGCTGCCGAGTTACCGGTTCAGGTATTTCAGGACGTCTGAATGGTTCTGCAGACTCCAATTCCTTAATCTTTTCTAATCCTTCAGGGCGTTGAGATTCCGATATGATACTACCTTTTGCGGTTACAGTCATAGATATCGCGGATGTACACTGACCCAAAGCATTAATAGCTTTGACAGAGTACTCTCCGGCGTCTTCTGGTACGCAGTGTTGAATATCCAGTGACACATAACCAAAATCAAAAGTGATATGGAATCTAGAAGCAGATTGCAGGGCTTTCCCATTATGATAAAATTCAATTCGTAGATTGGGATCGTGGACTGGCTCAACTTGACATTCGAAATGAGCAGTTTGTCCTTCATAAACATGAGTTGTTCCTCGTAACTCTGTGACAAACCGAGGTGGAGAAATTTTAGGCTCTTCTACTTCAATTCTGGCAGGATGCCCTTGAGCTTCGAGCTGCCTTATTTTCTCCAAGCCGTTAGGATGTTGAGTGTCCAAAATGATGTTTCTGTGTCCTAAAATGAAAAAAAAAAACAAATATATACAAAGCGCACGAGGATGAAATATTAACACCTTTCCTGTTCATTAAAAAAAAATATCTTACCTGCTACCTTCAACGTGCAGGTATTAACTGCTTCTCCAAGTTTATTTGTTGCTTTACACATATATGTTCCAGAATCTTCGCTATATGTGTATAATATATCCAAAGCAACATAACCAAAGTCATGTGTTGTTCTAAATCTATGACCTGTTTTAATCTTTTGTCCATTGAGGAACCATTCAATTTTGAGATCAGGGTCATTGATAGGTTCCACTCTGCATTCGAAATGAGCCCGTTCACCTTCTTTAAGATTCTCGAGGCTTGTCAAAGCTGTTAAGAATACAGGTCTTTGACCAGGCTGTTCTTCTTCTACAGGTTTTGGTCTTTCATATTTTTCCAGTTCTTGAATCTTTTTAAGTCTTTGTTCATCCATAGTATCCAAATACAACGACTTCTTAGCTAAAATTAAATAGTAAATTTTATAGATGTCAATAAATCGTGAAATAAGGTAAACTTCAAAATGTTTAATTAGAGCACGATTTCCAAATGTTTATTTTTTGGATCTCACTACTTACCATTTACTCTTACAGAGCTTGTTGTAACTGCTTCACCCACGGCATTGGTAGCCTTACACATGTATGTGCCAGTGTCTTCAGCATAAGCATACAAAATATCCAAAGCCACATATCCAAAGTCATACGTTGTTTTAAATCTATGTCCTTGTTGAATTGGTTTTCCATTACAGAACCATTCAACTCTCATTGTTGGATCATTAACTGGTGTTAGAGTAGCTTCTAAATGTACTGGCTGACCTTCTGGCACTTCAGCATTTTTAATTGGTTTACCAAACTGGGGCTTCTCTGCGATGAAACTTTCATCGTGGGTGACACGCTTATATCTGCTCTCATCTTCTAAATACTGAATCTTTTCAAGCGCACTTTCATGTTGCGTGTCTCTTATAATTGATTCTTTAGCTATAAAAAAAAACGTAAGTTATTTGTTTTATCTTATAGAGAACGACGAAGTAATAGAAATAATTTAATGTTACTTACATTGTACGTGTAATTTAATTGATGATGTTGCTTGTCCTAAATTGTTAATTACTTTACAGGTGTATTCTCCAGAGTCTTCTCCATACACTGTGAGGATATCAAGAGCCGCAAATCCGAAATCATTAGCGGTTCGGTAGCGATGACCGCTTTGTAAGACCTTCCCATTGAAATACCATTCGACTCGCATGTTAGGATCTGGGTAAGGTTCAATACGGCATTCATAGTGAGCACTTTGACCTTCGATCAGTTTTGTTGGTCCATTCAAATGAGTAACGAATCGAGGCGCTTGATTCACTGCAACTTCCACATCCTCCCTGCGTTGGTAACGGGAAGAATCTTCCAATTGTTGAATTTTCTCCAAAGCAGTCTCGTGTTGCGTTTCTAGTTGAAGCGATGCTTTAGCTAGAAATGAACATTTACATCATTGTAAAACATTATCTACTAAACTTTTTAAGAGTATGAATTTGTCATGATTTATTCACTTACATTGTACAAAGAGCGTAGATGAGGTCACAGCTTCACCTAAGTCATTAATAGCTCTACAAGTATATGTACCAGAATCTTCTGGGTTCACATACTTCATGTTCAGCGCTACATATCCAAAATCGTGCATTGTCGTAATGCGATTAGCTGAAAAGTATAATTTTTATTAATGAAAATGTTAAATGTTATTTTTACGTTTGTATGAAATCATATTTAAAAGAAACTTTATTCACACTTACAGGCTGTTATAGGTACACCATTCCTCAACCATTCAACACGTAGTTTAGGATCACCCACAGGAATAAGGCGAGCTTCAAAGTGTACGGCCTGGTTTTCTGCAACCTTGATATCTCTCATAGGTGTAGTAAAAACGGGTGCTTGAGTTGTAAATTCTTCTTGAACAGTAGACTTTTGATGTCTAGATGATTCTAATTGATTTAATCTAGGAAGAGCACCTTCATGCTGTGACTCTAAATAAATCGATTTCTTGGAATGCACTATTGCGGTGCCAGATGTGACGGCCTCGCCCAAAGCATTAATCGCTCGACATTTATATGTTCCCGAGTCTTCTGGTAAGCAAGACATAATATCAAGTGCTACAAAACCGAAGTTATTTGTCTCTGTAAATCTTGAACCACTCTTCAGAGGTTTGTTATTATGATACCACTCAACCTTCATTGTTGAATCAGAAACAGGAATAAGACGACATTCAAAATGAGCACGTTGTCCTTCCTTTATTTCAACATTCTTAAGAGATGTTGTAAATATCGGCGCCTGAGTGGTAACTTCATCAACGAAATCAGTTCTTGAATATTTCGAGCGATCTTCCAGAACTTGTATCTGTTCCAGACCAGACTCATTTTGAGTAGCTCGGATAATATCAGCAGTACTACGGCAAGTCAATTTGCAACTAACTTCATCGCTTCCTACAAGATTTACTGCCCTGCATGTATAAACACCTGAATCTTCAGCAATCAAGTCGATGATATCAAGTGCCACGTATCCAAAATCATGTATAGGTCTAAATCTGTGACCAATGGTTACTGGTTGGCCATTCTTAAACCATTCAACCTTCAAATTAGGATCTGTTACTGGTTCAAGTTTGCATTCAAAGTGGACGTGATGTCCTTCTTTGACGTTTTCAATGGACTTTGGTTTTGTAACAAAACGAGGTTTGATATTATAGGTCTCATCGATCACTTCTGATTTTTTATAACGAGAAGTATCTTCCAGGTATTGAATTTTTTCTAACCCAGAGGGATGTTGAGAATCAAATATTAAATCTTTCTTAGCTAGTACACGCAAAGCACAAGAAGTAACTGCTTCGCCTAGTTGATTTGTCGCTTGACAAGTGTACACACCTGAATCTTCGGGGTACACGCTTAAGAGATCAAGAGCTACGTAGTCAAACTCATAGGCTGGCCTAAACCTATGTCCTGTTTTAATTGGCCTACCATTACAGAACCACTCTACTCTCATAGTTGGGTCACCTACAGGTTGCAACCTGCATTCTAAATGAACATTAGTACCTTCAATGATTTCAATATTATGTAACGCTCGGGAAAAGTGTGGAGCTTGCATTACAGTTATATCTTCTTGTGTTTGTTTAGTTCTACGTGATGAATCCTCCAGTTGTTGAATTTGCTCAATTGCTTGTTCATTTTGTGTATCTGTAAGTACGTCTGATCTCTCTATTACACGCACCATCGCGGAAGTGTGAGCAGAGCCCAAGTGATTTACTGCTCTGACTGTGTATTCTCCGGAATCGGCTGATGTAGCGTGAATAATATCCAAAGCTACGAAACCGAAATCGTAATATGTCCTAAAGCGAGATCCAACAGTTACAGCTCTACCATTGTGGAACCATTCAACTCTCATAGTTGGATCGCCCATGGGTTCTAAACGGCATTCCAAGTGAATATTTTTACCTTCAGATATCGGATGTGGATCCGACAATGGTTGAATAAAGACTGGTTTCGATTTAGAAATTTCCTCAATATGATACGTTGGCTCCACGAATTTTGATTCTTCCATCTGTCTAGTCTTTTCATACAATCCGCGATGAATACTTGATGTATCGATGCTCGATCGGGCTAAAAGTACAGATAAATTAATTAAAAATTCAAGGGACAAAGACAAACAAGATGTAACAACAAATGTATTCATATATTTATAAATGTAAAATAAAAAAGGATTTATTAAATGTATATTAAATGTTTAAATGAAATACTCACTTTCGACAGTCATCGATGCACTCAATTGTGCTTCACCGGTAGCATTACGGGCTACAACAGTATAAACTCCAGAATCTTCGGACCTAACTCCTGCAATGTCTAAAGCAACATATCCAAAATCATGGTAAGTTTGAATTCTATTAGCAGATTTTATTAATTTTCCATTAAAATACCATTCCACGGTCATGGTCAAATCGCTCTGAGGTTCTACTCTCGCTTCAAAGTGAGCACTCTGGCCTTCCACTATCTTATTTGTACCTTTTAGTGGGCCTAAAAATCGAGGCTTCTGTTTAATTTGTGTTTCTTCTTCTGTGCGTCTTGAGTATTTGCTGGAATCTTCCAAGTACTGAATTTTTTCTAAACCTCCAGGATGTTGAGATTCTGCTATTATATCTTTCTTTGTTATTATGGTCAGATTAGCATTTGTAGTCGCTTGCCCAAGTGCATTATACGCTCTACATGTATAGTGACCAGCGTCATGTATAGTCACTGATTTAATAGTTAACGCAACATATCCGAAGTTGAAGAAAGTAGTGATTCTTGAACTTGCTTCAACGGGGCGTCCATCTTTTAACCATTCTACTTTTAATGTAGAATCACCCACAGGTTCTAAACGAGCTTCAAAATGTGCAAATCCTCCTTCTTTCACGTTTATTTGATCTTTTATTGGAGTCTTGAACTCTGGTCTTTGGGTGCTTTCTGGTACTTCCTGATAATATTTCTGATGTTGTTGTTGTTGATACGCTTCCAACTGTTCAGTCTTTTCGATATACCTTCTTTGCTCCGGAATGCCGAGATCTGCAGTAACGGTACTTCTTGCTGCTACTCTGATTGTTGCTGTACTGATGGCTTCGCCAAGTTTATTCACAGCCCTCACTGTATACGAACCTGCATCTTCAGCCCGTAGGTGCATGATGTTAAGGGAGACGTAACCGAAGTTGAAGATTGACGTGATTCGCGAGCTGGCTGTGATTGGTTTGCCATCTTTGTACCATTCAACTCTCATAGTAGGATCACTCACTGGAGTAAGTTGTGCTTCAAAGTGAGCGTTTCTTCCCTCTTGAAGCTCACCAAGATCTTGCAAGGGCCTAATAAACTGCGGCCTTTGTGAAATCTGTTCTTCAATAGATTCTTGGTGCTGGTATTTTGAGTAATCTTCCAATTGTTGTATGTATTGTAAACTTTCTGGATGTTGACTTGTTCTTTCAATGGTGGCCCTTGGCGTAACGTGAAGCATTGCTTTAGTTTCAGCTACACCAGTGGCACTGATTGCTCGGCATGTATATTCTCCACTATCTTGAATGTTAAGACTGAGCATATCCAAAGATATATATCCAAATCGAAATACTGACGTAAACCTAGAACCTGAAAATTAAGTATAAATGTTATGGGATAGAAATGATAAAAGGTAAGTACTGAATATACTACATTATTTTATTTTATTGTATTATGTTGATTGCCAAAGGTTGTTGAATCTTGGAGATTGAATCATGTTTTTATGAATACTTACTAGCTTCTATACTTTGTCCGTTCCTTAACCATTCAATCTTCATGGAAGGATCGCCCACAGGTTCAATTCTGGTTTCGAAATGAATTTTTCCGCCTTCCATCTGCGTTACACTCTTAAGAGGTATTATAAACTGAGGTGGCGGATAAACTCTGTCTTCCTCGCCTGGAGGAATGTATGGGCGTGCCCTTTCCACGTGCCTCAAATATATTATTTCGGGTCCAGGAGCAGGTCTGAAACGTTTTGTTATTTTTAAATCATTTTATTTCTAATATTAATTCTACGATAACAAAAAAAGTAGATATATTTTACTCACTCTGGGTCAATAATTTTTGTCGGTCGCGGTAAGTGCAAGCGTTTTTGCTCTGGCGGAGGCTCTTTCGGTACTTCAACGTAGAGCCTAGCCCGAGTAGCGGTGGAGCCTGCGACGTTCTGGGCTGTACACTGATACCATGCCGCATCCGACGCCTTAGCTCGTGGAATGTCCAGTGTCGAGGCCCCACCGTCGGTATTAATTCGTAACTCTGCATTGGGTATAATCGCTACGCCATCCTTCTGCCAAGTGATTCGTGGTGTAGGTGTGCTGACAGCTCGCGCTTTAAGTATGACTGGCTCGCCCTCGCGAACATTCAATGTGGTGAATCTTTCCACAAATTTGGGCGCCACTACTTGTTCTTTTTCAATTACATTAAGCCTGCATTGAAAAGATGTTTCGCCGGATTTGTTCCGCGCCACACATGTAACTACACCACTATCACTAAGATCGACATTTGTAATCATAAGAGCGTGATTTCCAGATTCATTCACTAATATCTTATGATTATAATCGTCTCGTATTTGTCTATCGTTAATGAACCACGTGACTTCTGGGTAAGGTCTGCCTGTGACGCGGCAATCGAATCGCGTCATCTTACCTTCTGTAACATCACGGTCTTGGCAGACTCTTACAAATTGCGGAGCAAGAGCTTTTTCGGTAATTTCCATACTTTCTTCTGTCGCAGTTTTTTGACTATCAATAATATACTGTGCTTTTTGATCATGTGCATATGTTTCTGTGGGAGATTCGACCGCAAGGTACGCTGACGTGACAATGCATCCGTTAGGGTTTTCAGCAAGTAAAGTGTAGTGTCCTGCATCAGACTTTTGAATATTCCTCACCCTAAGTGTTGTGTGAGTATTAGTCGTAATTATTTCATGTTTGTTCGAATTAGTTATTCTCTGACCATTTCTAAACCAAGTCACTCTCGGCCGTGGATTGCCGGATAGTTGTACTTGGAACTGAGCATCAGTTCCTACTTGGAGTTTTGAATTCCTTGGTTTTTGACCTATTTTTGGTGGTGACACTCCGCCTAGGGATTTGTCGATTTCTGTATTAATATGAATATCACTCTCTCCAACATATCGCCGCGTGATCGATTCTCTGAATGACACTTCTCTTAACAATCTATACTCAAATGTATCAACTTTGAAATCTTGGATAGCGGAGAAGTCCGTTCCATTTGTGTAAGCTACTTTTTGAGTCTGATGGGATTGTCCTGAAGAGTACCCTTGTGTGCCATAAGACTTGTGCTCGACACTCTCGCTGACATGGCGATAACTTTGTTGCTGCGAAGCTTGATGCGCTGGGACTGGAACGCCCTCTGGTTGGATGTATACAGAGCAGATTGCTTCGCCATATTGATTCCGGGCAGTACAAGTGTACTCGCCTTCATCTCCGGGACCAATTTGTTTGATAAGCAACGAGACATCTCCTGTCTGTTCGTTATAATTCATACTATACTTATTGCATTCCACTAGCGGTGCCTTCTTTCTGGTCCAAGATACTACAGGTGTAGGATTACCTCGTAGTTTGCCTTCGAACTTTGCATTGCCACCTTGAGCGAATCTGGCATTTTTAAATATTTGTTCAAAAATCGGCGGAGATGGCTCTCCGGGTCTGCCTCCAGTTATGGGGATGCGATCTCCGGCGCTCTCCACTGAAACAAGGAGAAAAAAACTTATGTAGCGTAGTTCAAAAAATATTTTCAACGCTTAAAATGTTTAATATTTACTGAAATTTGAAGTTTATTTTTACAATAACTCCGCTAAAATGTTGGTAAATAAAATATTGGAATGTGTGTGGAAAGCATGCGCATGTAAATAGTTTGGCGAGGCGGCACTCCTGCTATACTGCGATCCGGATTGGGGAGCGTGTGAGTCATTACAGAACAGTGACGAGACGGGCGAGCTCTTTCGCGCAGCTATTTTAGTGAACACACTCGGATCTTGTTACAATCGCCATTTTAGTGAATCATTTATATTTTTATTTCCAATATCTTACAATAATATTGACATTGTTATCGCTGATAAATCAATGAAACCAATCATAAGGTCTCACCATTTCTTAAATTATCAAGCATGTATTCGATATTCTAGTATAGAAATGTATCTACATTTCTTCCCTTATGTACTTACATACATAAAGTTTTTTACCTTTACCTACTACAAAAAATTAACTTAATAATAATATAAGAATAGACACAAAAGTTCTACAGTTTTATTCTAAAAAAAAAGTACAGTCGAATTGAGTACATAGTTTTTTTGGGAAGTCGGTCAAAAAAACAAGAGTAAAAGATATCTTATAAATCCGATCTTAATACCACGATCGCATAAGGTACTCCTCCGTTTACTAAGAGATAATCAACAAACCGATTTGTACATACGAGTTGTAGGAATGTAATGAGGTAAGTCGGTTTCGCTATTACGGTGCTTGCTGGAATAGTTTGTAATTTTTCACCGTACGAACCGGTCTCCTCAGCCAACGCGACCGCTATCAGATGTCATCGTCCCTAAACCACTAATATTGGTAATACTGTCAACCCTTCAAAATACGAGATTAAATACAATTATTTTAATGGCTTGTTATTTTTTTTTGGGTCAAGGTCAATCGAAATTAAATTCTTTTATCGTAATAACGACATTATCATCCATGATTTCTTGCTGTTTAAAATATTCGTTTTTGTTTAATAATTTAAACAAAATAGTAGACTTGTTTAAATTCTTCAGACACTGACAGTCAGTCTCTAAATAATAATTATGATAGATAGAAGATTGAATCACACATCCTTATCGAGAATCGTCTGTCTGTATCGTTAATTTTATAAATATTATACGATTAGCTAGTTTCAAATGTTTTACAAGGAAACGGCGGATATTTTCAGTAATGCGTGGGATTACGACGTCGAAACTTCGGTACGCCGCTGGCGGCTCGCCAAACTCTGCTAGGTTGATCTCTATTAAATAAATATAACATTGAAAACGAACGACACTCGAAATTAAAAAAAAATAAACGATACAGACGTGTAATCACACTATCTTTCATTTTTGTTAAAATCGAAAAAAAAAATGCGAAAGTTTAGATGGATGAATGTTTGTTAGAGTTTGTAGCCTATACGGCTGAACGGATTTCGATGAAATTTGGTATAGATGTAGAGGATAGTCTGGAGGAACACATAGGCTAATAACTTTTGTTTTTTTTTTAACGCGAATGCTAGTTCTACATAAAAAATTGATTGTATGCATGTTATATTTTAATATTTACGCAATATTATAATACATATTTAATTTAAACATTTATAAAAGGGATAAATAAATACTTTACTTTACTTATTTGGCCATAATAGACCAAAATAGAAAATCAAATGTTTTAAGATAAATTTAAGAAAAAACAATGACTCATTTTTCATTTATTCCTCCGTTAAATGAAATATTACAAAATCTTTTACGGACGTTTTGAGAATTGTTTTTAGAGAAACATCTCAATTACCTTTCGCTAAGCAATTCATACAAAAAGCAATAATTTTGAATAGAGCATGTATTGTATGGATGTTCCTTCCATTCTTTATAAACAATAGTCTCTTTGTATTTTTCAATAACATTTATAAATATATCTATAAGTCATATAAGTATTATAAAGTATATCTTTATATTTATTAGAGACATTTTTTTTGGATTAACTTGTAACTCGGACTCTTACAGGCCAAGGCCTACTTCGGCTCCGCATCAGTCGTATTAAGAATAACAAGCAAGTTCTAAACTGTATCATTTATGTATTAATAACTATAAAAATCTAATCACTAAAAAATATTTTGTCTGTCAAACGCCGTATACTAAGTCCGTGAGGAAGTAAAAAGAGTTCGGAATTTCGTTAAAAAAACGTCTCCGTGATCACGCGGAAAGAAAGTTACTGATCCGTGCAACTTTGTGTTTTAAAACCAACTAAAAGAACGGGAATAAGAAAAAGAAACCTAATCTCACATGAAATTATCAAAACCTAGAACAAACTATGGTCAAAACACTATAACATTTGCGGGAGTACAGTTATATAATACTTTACTTAAAGTTATCAGAGACGAAAATAAAATGTCGTTATTTAAAATTAAATTAAAAATTTTGTAAAGAAAATAAAATCCTAATATATATGATAATAAACTAGACTACTGATGTAAATTGTAAATGTAAAAAAAAAATGTTTCTCGTTAAGCGAATTGTATATTCTTAGAGAAATAAATATCTTAAACCACATATATATTCGTATAGATATATGTATGTTATCATCGAAGAAAACATTTTTATAGGACGATATTTTAGTAACTAAATTTTTTGTGAGCATGTTTCCTTTAATTTCGGACTCTTAGGGCCTGTCCGACCATTGGCTGATAGAGGCTCAGATAGCTTTAAAATCACGTCTCTGTCAGATAAGGTAACAAAACCCGATATTTCCATTACATATTTTACACGTTGTATTTTTATCAGACAATTAACAATTTAGTGGGACAGCCCCTTATAAATGTAATTAAAAAACGTTGATTATTATATTTTAATAAGATCTGTGATTGTTATCAAGAATTGCTTGTAATAAATCACACGCTGTCGTCTATAAATTAACACAATGTGTATCAATTTGACCTATTCCGTACGCCATATGGTCACCGGCCTCTTAACGAGAATCGTGACTATTGACTTCTCTCATATATTCTATGCAAAGACATTAAAAAATATAGACGAGACATAGTGAACAAAATTTCTTCATCGGTAGTTTCTCTGTAAGGTACTAAGCAGTTGTCAAGTTTATTACGCAACCTCGTGCCCATATTGACATGGAATAAAACGTTTTACATAATTATAACAAAGGTCCATCTTTTGTAATAAAATAAAAGTTTTAAGGATCTATCGATAGGTCTAATTTGTAGTGAACTATGTCACCTCTAAATATCTCTTTAATATCTTTATTTTTTATTATATCTCTACATAGGCGTCGCCAACCCATGATCCGAGGGAGCTAGTAGAATCGTTAAAATCAATCTAAACTTTTAGGTTAAGTAGATGTCGCAATGGGACATACATACCTATATTGTCAATACACTACAGTATAATATAATAATTAAAATAATGGACAAGCACATTAGTTGCAGTTTTAATTTTACTTCATAACACAAGTATAGAGGAGATATCTTACTTGAAGTTTTAATTTATAGAAAATGTTTTCGTAATTACGTGTAAACAGTAAACTTTAGCTTATCACATAAATAATAAAAAAAACGAAACATCTTACTCGTATAACGTGACATAAGAGTATTTTAACAGAAATGGCAAAACTCTAAAAATACTTGATTTGTTTAGAATAACTTAAATTATTTATTGAAAAGAAAAATAAATGTAATCAACGGAGAAGGCTATCAAAGGCAAAATTAGTTCAAGTTAGTTATGGCTACACTTAACTGTATGTTTAGCGGAGAGAACTTAATAGAGATTATAGCCAATGCTTGGAGACGTGTTACGCGAAGATATAAAATGATACAGCACAATCCGCTGTTAACGGTGAAAGTAATGACGGTTAAACCGCCTGCAACAGTACTTAAGCTAGGTTCACACGAAGGTAGAACAGTAAGACAGTGCAGTAGGACAGTGCGATACTTCTATGTTTTAATGCATCTAGGAATTCAGAACCACACTGGCACAGTACAGGTTAATCTGCTTTACACATATCTTATGAATTTCCTTGCAGGTTGCATCACCATGTTTTCCTTTGAGTTAAAAAACAATGATAGATGGCGGGGATCTAACTTGAAAGTATAGTTCAACGTCCAATCCTGTCAGGAGCTTAAGAATTAAAACGCCACGCGTATTTACTTCAACCACTTGAATTGAAAGTATACCTAGTGTGAAATTAGTACTGTCCGACTCATGGTGTGCGTTAAATCAATTCTTGCTGCACGTCTTACTATCCGGCCCTCGTGTGAAACTACCATTACATTCGTAACACATTTGAACAATTCCGGTACAAAGCTTGACAAGTTTACAAAAGACGCAACTGATATAAAAAATTAAGTATTACATTTCGTAGGATTTTACTTACAATATTATTATAGTATTATCCCCTAGATGCCTAAACAATTGTTATTACATTAATTAATAAAATAATGCAGGCTGTCTGTGCTATCGGTTTCAAAGTAATAGCTTTTAAAATATATTAACAGCAATTAATAGAACGTATTAAAACAGCTAGTTACCATAACAGTTTGTATGCTGATTATTTCGTTATTTTTTGTGTCTATCATAAAAATATACCGTTGCGATTTCACATTTGAAAATTAACATAAAACAAGGAAAGTTATTAGAGTACGAGCGAATGTATTTGAAAGATTACATTTGAGGTCTTATTTTTTTTTGCAGCGGGAGATAAAACGAGGAGCGACGCATAAACCGAAACGGGGTACTGTTAACCCAGTCGTGTTATAATGATACTCACTGGTTCTATGTCTACGCGTTAAGGCAGCAGCGACGCGGAGAGATGATCATCTACAAGTAACTGCCGACCGTTGTCTTTGTTCATGGCTTATACATAACAGGTGAAAGTATAATACAATGAAATAAACGCAATGATTACGCTAAATGTTTAATCAAATGAACGCTTAAGATTCTACGAGCTCGACTCACAATTACATTGATTGTAAAAAATAATGCAACGGTTTATTATTATTCATAAACCATTGAATCAAGATTGAACAGTGAAAACGCAAGATTGTTTTACTAACATCGTTTTTACGAATACTAACGACGCTATTATTCACATGTTCTCAGCCACAAGACAAAATAGGAAAGCGATCAAACGATGGCTGTACAATGTATGAACATAATTGTGTGAATGTCACCGGCCGATTGTGAATTTCGACATTTTTGTCGCTAGTCATTTTCCAAACTGACATATTGCATTAAACGTCGACAACATAGCGCGACAAACTTATTTGGTCCGGTTAACAAAAGTTACACTCATAGCCCGTGTTGCCTTGTAATACTATATTATTATATGTATTATTATATCATAGATGTTTCAATGTTTTATCAAACAATTAAATATTCTTAGGTGTCCTAAGAATACCCCACCACAATTCCATTAAAATTAAAATTTCTGTCAAATTTCAGCGATATCCGTTCCAATCAGTAGTAACAAACATTCATCTATCTAAACATCTAAGAGTTAAGCTTAATTTTATAAACACTAACATTTAAATGTGAACAAAAAAAGACACAAACAAAACTGGTAATTGTATCTAATCTGATAAATAACAGAAATCTGCTCACTTCTATGTTTTACGCGATATATGACAATTAAAAATAATTTTAATAGGTTCCTATTTAACTTATAGTTGTATCGCAAAAAATATATTAAAATCGGTCCATTAGCAGCGAAGTTATGCCGGAACACACATAAAAAATACATACAGACGAATTTAGTACCTCCTTCTTTTGGGAAGTCGGTCAAAAATAATTAAACATGGTCACATTCGATTATTATCGTCGATTCCCACAATTCGTTTCACAATTAAAAGAATACACCCTAAAACAATATCTACCTTTGTAATTAGCTTGTTCAAAAAAGGTCCAGCTAAAGACATTTAAGATTTATATAGACTAGACATAGATAACAACATTTTTTCACCGGTAACTTCTTTGAAAGGTATTATGTTAGTTGTCATTAGTGCCACCTCATGTAGTTGTATTCAAATGTTATAAAATATTTTACAAAATTATAATAAGCTCCATCTCTTGTCAAATAAACTAAACAGTGTCACAAAATAAAAAATAAACATTTAAATATTTATTGACGCCTATTGGTAATACATTTCAATACAATTAATTATATTGACATGTGATTTTGACATAACAGTAGCGTTAGTGGAATATGTGAACTCAAGTCTCAAGTGAAGTGTCAACTATGCTTCGTCTGTATAATTTTTAAATATCTTTAGAATAATTAAACGTCAAATAAAATCTCACAGAGCGAATTTTATAATGAACTGAAAACACTCAAGATGTATTAATTAGAATTTATTAATTTATCCTAACAAACCTCCGTTGTATATCATGTGAATTATTAATGTTGGTCGCATTATTATCTTGTTATGATAATAATTGTATGTAATGTTTAAATTACTAATAAATTACTACTATAATAATAGATTTATAGCTCGTAGCTTGTCAATTGGAAGCCTATTGTTATGTTTATCTTATGTAATTACTAATTCCATATTATTTAATCAACATAACATATAACATTTATAAATTATGATTATATTGGTAAACGTGAATCATTTGCAATGACACTCTCCACATATCTTTACGCTATTTAGCTGAATAAAACGTTCGATATGAGTTTGAACAACTGCTTTGTTGTACACAATAAATCTAATTACACGCTGTAACTCTACTTCAGTTATATTTCTTAACTAGCTGTTCCCGTGCGACTTCATCCGCATGAAAAAATTAAAAATTTACTTTATTGTTTACATTTGTCAAATTATCAATTACAAATGTCAAAATGACAGGACATGATGACATCCTTGATGTTGGCAGCAACTTATAGTATCTTTCCCACATTATGGTTTTATATAAAACAATATATACCCCCTAATTTTAATGGCGTGTAAATATATAGCCTAAAGCGTGACGTAAGTGGAGGGCTTTATTAAAAAAGAATTATTCAAAAACATGCTGTGATTGCTGACATCTTATACAACAAAGAAGTGTGTGTTTACGCTTTATTATATTTGTATAGATGACGACATTCTAACAGAGCTATATTTTATTTATTTTTGCACAAATATTACAATTAGGGCCTGTCCCACCACTGGCTGATAGAAGCTCAAGTAGCTTAAAAATGACGTCACTTTCAGATAAGGTAAAATCCGATATTTCAATCACATATTTTACACGTTGGATTGTTATCAGACAATTTATAATTTGGTGGGACAGGCCCTAAGTATACTAAAATTAAGCTACTACAAGATTTGCGAAAGAGCGGCGAATTTACTTTAAGATATTACATTCTGGAATCTTTAGTTTGTTTACTAATAGCTATATATAAAACAATTACTAATCAGTAACTCAATGTTATGATTACGAAAGTTTACTATAGATGCCCCTTTAGGAAACAACTCAACTATGCGACCTAATTTCTAATATTCTGATTTTCTGCTTCTAATAAAGTATGGATATGTATTTGTTTGGACTATAACCAAATTTGGGTAGAAACGAGCAAAAAAGAGTGATGTTTAAAAAATAATTGGAGCATTCTCTCTCGCTGAGAGCATTTTCTTCCTACGTCAGACTGTTGTTTACATTTCAGTTTTTGTGTCGCTCCAACATTATACCGGCGTTCACGCAACCATACACACGCCCGATCGATTTCTTATTTTCATCTTACACGTAATATTTCATATTATACTGCATCATAGTGCGTTTACAGTTTGTATTTTTTTAAGAATGGAATAAAAAAAATAACCTTCTAAGTCTAAGATAAAATCTAATTAACAACAGTCAACCTAATTTCTTCATTCCGAAGCTTATTTTAAGTGAAATGAATCCTTGAATGGGAACGTGTTTGTCCCGAACACCATTTATAGGTACGAGTTTAAGCCTTATAAGTAAGCAAATTTTAATGTGTGAGTTCGCAGTGCAACCTTAATGGCGAGACGACTGGACTCGCGCGTCGATATCGCCGGCCGGTTGGCTATTTAACATTTAAATATTGCACAAAAAGTATCGAATCGGGGTCGAAACTGCACCGCAACTATTTCTGCCTCGGCTCTTTTTACCACTGCGTGAGTTCAGCGTTCATATTTAATTTAAGCATATTGTAATGCAATTCGCATTAACAACACAAATACCCCAAGCGAAGATGTTGCGATTATTCTTTAAATGTTGGCAAAAAGAAAATGTAGTGAATATTTGCGGGAGCGCATTCCTGTGGGAAGGCGTGAGGCGAGGGGCGCTCGGGGCGATCTGGACGCGGCTCGAGCGGCGACCGCCCACGCGCCCCAGAATAGCCGCACCATCTCGCTCGCGGTGAAAATCGCCATGCACAAATAAAGTTACGCACCAGGAAACCAAAGAAGAGGGCGGATCGCCCGCACAGCTGAGTCCTACCGCCTCCCACACCATACATTTACAAAAGTTCGCAGGAGCGTTGTTAGTTATTGGTGTTACGGGTTACAAATTGAAGGTAACATGTAACCCGTTACATTATAAATGAGTACCTACTATATTATAAAAATAATATAAATATGTAAGTAGAGTATGATGTAGTAAAGTACTAACTTCGTTGCTGCGTGAGCATTTGGTGTGTGTAGTGGTGCTCAGTGCGCTGAACGCGCTCCTGCTGCTGCACCAGTCGCTGCTCACTTCGCTGCTCACTGCGCTGCTCACTGCGCTGCTCACTGCGCTGCTCATTGCGCTGCTCCGACCACCTCGACTGCTTCTCCATCGTGCCGCCCGCCGCAGCCGCACAGCAGCACAACGCACAGATAATATAATAAAACTCTCACTCGACGCTAATGTTTTTATCGTTAAACTCGTCTCGGCGGTCGCCCAAAATAAAATAAACGCCACTGCGAAAAACTTATACTAGTCCACGGGTTCATTTAGCAGAAGTCAAGTCATTATAACCCAAGTCCCAACAACCAAGACGTCGGTCGATTGCGAATAGTTAGCGGACAGTGGCAACGTGGCGGAGTCGGCGCTGCGCATGCGACGCGCGGCGGGGAGCGGCGCGACCGAAATACGACGAGTTATTTCGAGCGCGCGCTCCTCTCCCGCGCGCTCCTCCCTCCCCTGCCCTCTACCCTGTCCCCTCCCCTACCCTGATCTCCCGTCACCGCTATCCCACTATACGATTACCTTGCCTGCCATCCCATATGCAAAATCGCCACAACATCAGCCACCACAAGTTCAGAAGGTTCAATTAATTAAGAAAATTCCGCTCATTTTAACCATAATTAATATTATTTAGCAGACGAATTCGAATTTTCGAATAATCCCTCGAAGTAGCTTTATTTTCCAAATTTTATTAAAAAAAAATATTCTCAGAAGACGCTACAACCCGAAGGGAAAAACATTAGATAAGAAAAACTTGTTGCTTTGGTTACATCGAAAACCCAAAACATATCCCTGACGCTTACACATTTTGCATATGTAAAATGTTCAAAAGATTATTAAAAACGTGAAATAATTTTAACTTTTCTTGCAAAAATCCACGTATGCGTCATAAAAATAAGTACATTTTGTTGAGATGATACGTATTCTTATTGATTCACCGGGAATGTGGCCGCATGCAGGCAAAATTAATTCTCACCCGTAATCGCAAGATCAGTCATCAACATGACGCATATAAGCGAGTTATTTTCAGACTGAAATACAACCCAAGGGTGGGATGAATTATGCGTTCCAATACTGAGTACCATAACAAAGAGAATGCTAACTACCACCCACAGATTTTTAATACTTTGAGCATGTACGAAAGAGCGTCCATGGCTCGGGGGTTTGAGCACTTGACTTGTAATCACTGGGTTTGAATCCCGCCGTGTACCAATATGATTTTCCATTTTTTGGATTTCATATGTACATAAATTACGTACGTATAAGTCCTTACGTATAAGTCCTTGCGGTGAAGCAAAACATCGTGAAGTAACCTGCTTATATCGGCGAAGAAATTTAAAGATATGTGTGAATTCAACCAACTTGTAATGGGCCAGTGTGGTTGATTATGGCCTAGTTACCTAACTTAGGGTAGGCTCCGAGCCCCGGGGACGTATTGTGATCTGATGATGATGAGACCATGATTATTGCCAAGAAGTGTGTAGAGGGGCGCAGCCCCTTGTAGAAAATCGTAAAATGTACTTCGAGTACAATCATCTTAATAGTCTTTTTAGCCTATCTAAACAATCGGCTGGTGACGGAAATGATGTAAACGTAGAGCATTCTAGCATGGGCCACACCATCATCTAGACTTCTAGACTAGGAGCGAACTACTAAATATGGTCTCATTTGCAAAGTTTTTAAATCTATTGTTCATTTCTGGAGTCACAAGGGGGCAACCGTAGGCGTTGTATATGTATTCTTGTAAAATACAGAGACCACAATATAACTCAAAACAATTTATTGAGTTTGCATTATTAATAATTGTCGAATATAATTCTAAGGTTTTCTTTGGATGCCACAATGTTTATGTTTTATTATTTAGACTTTTTACATTGTCTTCATTTTAGCATTGACGGGTTCGGCTGGTGTTCATTAAATTTAAATTTGGATTACTAATGTTATTACTAATAATATAAGTAGTGTGATAGTTATAATTTATTCGCCAGAGATGTTTTCTTTCACCGTCGTCGTTAGAACGTCCTGTAATGTACATATGACATTCGAAAAAACGAAAATCACATTGGTACATGGCGGGGTTCGAACCCAAGACCTGTAGATTACAAATCAAGTGCTTGAACCACTGAGCCACCGATGCTCTTAACCCAACTTAGGGTAGGCTACGAGCCCCTTGTTATATATACGTATAGTGAGCTGGTGATGATGATAGTCTTCAAAAATCACTATAAAGAACATCACAGTGGTTGGTTCCAAATGAAACTATTGTATAAGAATGCAAATTTAAAACTTTCACGCCTGTAATTTCTGTATGTGATACCATTCATTTGTACAATGCAATGTTGCGATTTTCTCGTGGGAGCCTTTTCCAGTCGTCAAATTCATAACGGAATAGGAAAAGTTTATTCGATGCCGTGACAACAAAATCGGTGTCACTCTACATACGATACGGCGTTTGTTCGTAGCGTGCAGGTTAGCGAAACCTATCACTTCCGGATGGCTTAACTAGTCTAATAAAGGTGCGTTTCCATTGCGTTTTTCAGACATGCAAAGTTCACCATTTTTACTTTGAGGCTGCACTTAATTTCTAATCGCTCCTAGAGAGAGAAGAAAAAAGTGAAAACATAAGTTTTCGTAAAAGTTTTTATACAACGACAACGAATGTCAGCTCAAAGTTAACGAACTCGGTCTGTTACAGATAATGGTTTCGTGGAAACTAACCTTAACTGCAACAATAAAACTACAGATGTAATGAAAAAGATTTATTTCACAACCCTCAAATAGTTCATAACATGACGTTGAATGTTGCAACTTTAAGTCCAAGTGCACACTCTTAACTAAACTATCGCACTGTTGTGCGATTTTCGATTGTTTTGCAGCCAATTCAACTGTTTAGTCGCACAACTAAGAATCATAATCGTGTGCGCACCTTCATATAAGGTCATGCAAATCAAAGCGAAACTAAACAGTTTTGCGATAGTTTAATTTCAGGTACGCACGCGCTCTAATAGTTACATTACTTTAGTAGTTACAAAAATATACAATGCTTTAAAAACGTATTTATGAGATATATCGTTGTTCGTAGAATCTTTTATAAATAATACAAGACAATAGCATAGTACTGGAAAGTCTATCATATAACGCAAAATAATGGATTATTACTTTTAATATGAATTATTGAAAAATAAAGAAGAATTTGATGACAGATTAAAATTCAATATAACAATGCAACGGTAATATAAACATCCGGTGGTGTTAAATGAAACTTAACATAACACCCGCAAAATGATGTAAAAACTAGAATATTCTGTGCTATTTAAGTTACAAAAAGTTAAAAACAAATTGCACAATTATAAAGAATTAAAAGTAGATTTTTGCATTACTTACTACGTAGTTATTCTAGAAAGATCAAATATGTTTATAACTTTCAATGCAGCAATTGTTATAGCTTATTATTTGGGGTGTCGGGTGATATAAATAATCAGTTATTTACCTTCCAAATCTCTTTATTAAATTACATTAACTCGAAGTACTGAGAAATAATTCTTTCAATGAATGGAAATAAATCGAATGTAATAAAATGCAATCTGATTTAACGTAGCTGAAGACGCATGCCAGTGCCAGTACCCGTTTGATTGTAGGTGGTCGATATTTTGGGCGAAAAACAGAAAAACATGCGAGCATCGCCCACAAACTCTACTAAGGCAACGCTGACTGTAACCTGTTGGCATTCAATGAGTAACCGTTTTGCGCAACAGGTAATTTATTTTAAGGTGCCAAGCAATCTTACCCCACTACACCGAAAATTTTCATTTGTACGTTTGAATCATTTTGTTTCGAGACATGTTGACCTACATTGTTAATTAGGTTATGAAAATATTTTCTAGAAAAGTTCTAGGAAGTTTTAAAACGCGGTCGCCGATGAACAAGTAACGATTACTTTGAAATTCCATTGCTATTGTTGCCTCTGTTTGATACAAGTGAATGAAAGGGACGTCGATATGTTTCTATACAAGTGCTTGGACATAGAAAGCGTAGAGTTATAAAAAAACGTATGCCTAATTTAAAAAAAATCAAAATTAAACCATTAATAGGATTGTGATCTAATTCAACTATAAGGCCCAGTTTTCTAGCAAAAAGATAGGTACATTTATGTTTTTTTCTCGATATTTTCTTTATTTGTATCTAAAATGTGTTTTTAAAACTAAAACACATCATTGCAACGTGCCTTGTTCTATGTACAGTAAGGGAATCTGGTGGTAATACATCAAAAGTTACAGTTTACACGTTTTGTACGCATTGAGACGACATCGCAGAACCATAACCGATATTTCGCAGCTTTTAAACAAGTGTGTACGGAAAAGGTTGGTTTTATTATCCTGGAATTTGCGCAACACACTGCAACCTATATTTTTAAAGAAGCGGCGGAGTTTGTATTTAACAAGAAACAGGACAATTTTTGTAAGCTGAACACTGTGAATTTCCGTGACTGTACCTACTACCACATAAATACAATATACTAGTACTTACAATGTTAGCGTTATTACAATTTGTCGTAAATATTTATTTCATCCATAAATACTGCGAAAGTTGATAACATTCATTACCAATGATGTCACAATAAGTAATTCTTTGAAGCTCACAAACATGGCTGTGTTTTGGATAACAATTGTTACAAAGTTGCAATGATATGTAACACGATCCCTCGTGAATATGTAGTGGTTTTAATATAGATTTGCTTTTATTAATACATACACGCCTCACCTAGTGACTGGGCGGTATCGTACAATCCGTCTACCTGTACGAACGGAGAACGAGCCAAATGTTCCAAAATAGATCTGGAGTAGATACACAAACATCTCCAATTTCTTTAATAAAAAAAGTTACGTGAATTTGCATAGCTTTTATTATCTTTATAATTGATAATGTTTTTTGAAGTATGAACACAGAATTATTATTAGAACAACCATCTCGTAATGTGAGGTACTGGGCTACAGCCAAACGTCTCGTAAATAAAAGTGTCTAATAGATGACTAATTACCTCTTAGTAAAGCATGAGCGGTCATTTATTTAAACATATTACTGTAATTAACGTTTATAAAAATGGTCGATCGTTATTTCCAAATCTCTCATTAGAGTACAGCGCATAGCGTGAATACGATATGACTACGGTAGTTTTCGCCCGCGACTCCGTCCGCGTTGAATAAAAAAAAAACAAAAGTGTACTCACTTTGTTTTTTTTAATTCAACGTCTCTCCTCTACGTCTACGCCAAATTTTATCGAGATCCGTTCAGCCACTTAGGCTACAAACTCGAACAAACATCCATCCATCCATCCATCTAAACTTTCGCATTTATAATATTAGCAAGATGTACAATGTAGAAATTTTTTTATATAATC